GATTATATAACCATCTTAAACAGCTCATTAAGAAGGCTATTCTGCAGAGCGGTAGACGACTGAAAACCAGCAGGCTCGAGCCCAAACATACCTCTGGGACGTAGTTGTCCCTCCTTTCTCTCTCCTCCTCCTGCAGCTTGATGGAGATGCCTCTGACTGGCCCCCTCTGGATGCGCTTCATCAGGTGGGTCACATACCTGCAAATGCAGAGGTAACACTGCAACATGACCTCAATATGCTACAACAGACCAGGTTCCAAGAGATTATGAACTGTGCATTTCAAAATAAGGGTGGGCAATACGACGATATTTTATTATTACTGTGATAAACTGTTATGATAATATGCATTTCCAAGAATACTAGACACTCAGTACTTAAAGGACAGTGACCATCTGCATGTTTCATTATGAATAAAGCAGAATTGGTCATGTTTAATTAGATGCATGTAGATAGATTTCGTTCATAGTCTGATAGCAGTTTTTAAATGTGGCACTACTATTGCATTTTTTTTGTCCCAAAAGTACAGCTCAGTGTTTCCGCTACATATTCTGAACTTCAGAATTATGAAATGTGACAAAGTCGCAATTACAAAACTCTGCAAAGGGCTTTTAATTTGTAACGACAGTTACAGGAAATGGACGAACAGCACAGTCAGAGCAGAGCCGAGACGAAGCGCTGAATGAAATGGCCGTCAGTGGAGCGAACTCTTCAGCCAGTTTTAACAAGCTGTAGTTTGTGAACTGGCTAACTTAGCTGAAGGGGGGGGGTTGGTCTCGACCCTATGAAACCGGAAAACGTGTGCTTTTTTCAAGCCCTTACTGTCTTGGCATTATCCCTCATCACTCCACTCAAACTACAGCAAAGGAGGGCTGATCAGTGTCGTACCCAGCGATCTTGTTGCGGAGCTTCTTGCTGGGAATGATGGCGATCTCCTCACACACACGCTTGTTGGTGTGGAAATCACTGCCCAGGCGGGTGTAGTACTTCTCGATGATGACCCGTGCGGCCTTTTTTACCGTCTTGGTCCTGACTCGTCCCTGTGGGCAGAAGAGCAGGAATATGCATTAGAAAAATGAACATTTAACAGTACTGTTACTGCCATGCACAAAAACAGAGCTCTCCAGGAGGACAGATGGACTACACTTAAGGTGCTGCAGTGCCTCTCTTAGGACAACTGACCTGCCTAATGAAGATACACCACTACAGCTGGGCAACATGCTGATATTTATCATTATCGTGGCAAATTACCTCACGAGTATATCACGGATATCACCAGTACTTACATCACTTTCCAGCTGCATGTTTTGACTAGAGAGAGCTTCATTAGTCATGTTTAACTGGATTTAGCGCAGCACTGTGCAAAACGCTGAACTGCATTTATAGTTTAATATAGTTTGATAGTATTTTAATATGTAGCACTACTTCGTCTCAACTTACCAGTTGTCATAAAATATATATATCGTACAAATCCTCCTGAAGTATCGTGATGTGACATGTTGCACTATCGCCCACCTTTACACACCAGTTTAAACCGTAACTGCTGGAAAATACACAGGATTCACCAATTTCCCGGTCCCAGCAATGACCTGCTTACCCTTATGAAGTCTGTACTTTGCTGATCTTAGTTTAGACACTGATCAGACAAACCACAATTAGTAGGTCTGAGAAATGCAGTGTTTGGGTCACTCTTAGCAGAAGCTGTATCATGATATTTAAATCATGACAACTGTCAATGAAGTCCAGAATAAGCTAGAAACACAGCTTCACTTCAACACTGAACTAGTCTGCAGTGATCCAGCCGGAGGGTCTGCAGCAGTTAGCCGGCAGTCACCGGGCTAACCCTCTCCTACAGCCCCCCAAACACCCAGGCCAAAACCCCCCACCACGGCCACTCAAGGCTAATGACTCTTCGTTCATCATTACAAACCCACTGGTCACTTATTCTGCCCCGTCCTCGCCGCCCAGAAGCCTGACTGCTCCTGCGTTAGCCAGCAGCACCGCAGCGCTGCCCTCACAGAGAGGCTCCCGACGCTCAGAGAGCCGCTCCGCTCAGTATTTATCTCCGAAATAAGAGCCATCCGCCCCCAATACTCACTCACACAGACCCGCGAGTCTCTATAGTAAACAGTGACGAGCTCAATAACGCCCTACGACACGCGTTAAACAAGGATTAGAACAGATTTCAGCGACGCTGAAAATCTCAGGTACCCACCATGTTGGATCAGGATAAGCGAAGAGAGCCTCAAAGGGCTCTGAGGGAAGTTTAAGGCGCAGGGCGGAAACGAGGAGACTGTTCTTCTGCCCCCTGTCGAGCAGGAGGAGTGATAGGCCTTGTTCAATACTCAACGGTTGGTGGTGGAATTTACTTTAAGGTTTTTGGGATATCAAGCACATCTACTTCAGTAAGTTAAAACACTGATTGATCTGTACTTTCATGAGTATTTTCAGGTGATAATATTTTTACTATTACTATTATTACTATACTATTACTATACTATTACTATTACTACTTGTTATTGAGGAAATTAACCGTTTTACTCGGTTAGCTACATTTCTGCTCTTCATATTTAGTAACTAATTCATTTCTGCTGTTGACATCTGTACTGCTTTGAGATTGGTGGCATCATTTTAGAGAGTTAGCATTTAATTTTAGACCAAAATAATCCAAAAAAGTAGAAGAATCGACTCATACAGACTTCATTTTCCTAAGCTGGTAGGAATTTTGAACCTCCGTGATTTTTATCAACACTGCCTTATTTATAATGTTTACCTAATTCTCAGATGTTTATATGTGAACTTAGCACTCAACACACTGCTGGATAAAGATTCCAGTGAAAGCTGCTGTCTTACAATTGTCCAGACATTCAAACACAGCTGACAGGTTCATCTGATCCTCAGAGGGAAAATGACTCTGACACATGGTGAAGGTTAAGAGAGACTTTTTTTTATTTGACATAAAAAAGGGTCCAAACTTGAGCTTCCCCCTTCGGGTGTAAGGAATAAAAAGTGAGTTTTCAGCGAGGTCGCCTCTGAACAGCAGCCATTACACACAAGGCCAGCCTGCTGTCTGCAACAGAAACTATTCAAAATCTGGAAAAAAAAAAATACAAAACAAAACGAAAACAAATGGGTTCGTCACAACTGGAGCCCTTAAGCACAGTTAAAGCATAAAGATACATTTTGGAAGTGACATTCAATATTTTAACACAATAATAGGCTTATTAATAATACATTTTGGGCGTCATTTTTCCAGACACAGGATAAACTTTCACTGACTCTTCAGTCATTATCAATGTAAATAAAGTCACTGAGAAGGCTCTGATGTAAAATGGGTTGTTGTAGAGGAACATTTCTGCACAGTGGTGGTGACAGAAACCAGAGGTTGAGATGACTGAACACGAATGTGGTCGTTTTATTTACTATCCAAAGTGACTAGTGAACCTACTTGTGTCCTCTTGAGTTTTTTTTATATGTAATGTTAATGATGGTGAACTAGTGATAAATTCATCACCATTTTATGAAATAACTTTCTGTGAAGGAGCTTTTAGAGGCATGAAACCCCTCAGACGTCTGGTTCCTATCACCACCACTGTGAACAATTCTGACTCTAAGTTTCTCTATAACAAAGCATTTCACACCAAACCACTCCGACTGACTTTGTTTACATCTCAACCATTTAATTATGAAAAATCCAGTGGAAATCTCTCATTAAGCCTAGTACTACTATATATGGAAAAGAATTTCCAATGTAAAATAAAGAGTCCTTTATTCCAGGGTAAGGCTGAAACTGTGTCTGGAAAAATAACCCTTCAGGTTTTTCCTGTATCTTCTTAACTCTGAAACCATAATCAGACCAATACCAGACAACTGCTTTCAAAGCTTTATGTAGGTTTGCTTTACACACTTTAAGAACAGAAAGGCAAAATAAAAAACACAAAACAGTCTGAAATAGACTTAATTTTGACCATAAGACCATCAAACAATTAAATATTTTACAGAATTTACAACAGGAAAGAAATAATATTCTGCAGCCAAACACATGACTGATCTCAGCATATTCATCAGTTCAACGTCCATCATAGCAGAGGTCGGGAAATGAAACAATGGAATGCATTTCTCACATCTCAGGCCAAACCTGCACTGAGTCACTTTGCACAAGGGTGCTCTTAGTTCTTGCGTAGTCCATTTCAGATCTTTTTAGACGAGGTTTAATCTGTGAACGGGAAACCAGATGACACCTTTTGAGTAGAGTGGAAGGTTGATGACCGATGGTTTCTCTAACAGTGGTCTCTTTATTCAAGCATGAGTTTCTTTGCTTTATAAATAACAGTGGCTTAACGAAAAGAAAACATCTGGAACAGACCTCCTGGTGCCACTTTCCCAGGGCATGTCTGTAAATGAGCACATCATCTCAGTGCAATCTCCCTGACTAAACAGAAGTAAAAATAAAAACGGACCAGTTCACGACACAAATACAGACCGAAAGTTCCACTCTTTTTCTACAATGCCCCTGTGAACCAGCATCTCACACAACCAGAACTGATACTGGTTTAGTGACAAAAACAAAAGGACAACAAAGATCCATTTAAACAGGAGACAAGAAAGAAGAACTAATTCACTGTTTAAAATAAGTTCCAAGTTGCCAATTAACAAAATAATGGAACTATAAACCGAGTAATACCTGAATGTTTGAGTACTGAAAAGCTAAAATTCAGAAAGGGGCAGTTTGAAACTCTTCTCCTCTCACCACTGCATGATGTATGCAGTGACAGGGGCAGGATGCAGTCATGAAAGAGATTATCACTCATTCACTTTCACACAAAGCAGCTCAGTGTACAGTGGCTGCTTCTCAATGTTTCAGTTTCAAGCATGTCGTAACTGGGAGTAAAAGAGGTAATCTGAGTGTAGATCAACTACTCTAGGGTTCTTTGAGAATAAAGGCCAAGGTAAAATAACGACAAGTGCATTTCAGACTCAAGTACATTTCAAGACTGGTTCAGTCAGTGATCAAATTAAAGCTTTATAATTTAAAATGAAACAAAAACCCAACAAAAAAAAGACAAGTAAATGCACACCAGTTATGCACAATTCAGCATCATACTAAACAGTTTTACAGTTTTTAATATGGCTAATTTATGAGAGAAGCGTAAATCCAGCCCAGACTGTCATCCACCCCACCAGGAGGTGCCACTGAGACCATAGTGTTTCCAAACAGACTAAATCATACAAATATTCACAATCAATAAAATCATGGATAAAGTGAGCACATACACTCATATGCAGTGTACATGCACAGATCACATCATAAAACAACGTTCCTTTGAGGCATTAAAATACAAAATAAAAGTTCATTTTGTTCAAGGCAAAAATCTGAAAAAAAGGACATTTCCATCTTTCCAACAGCAAGCGTTAAACAGCATGTAAAAGAAAAACAACATTAAAAACCACAAAAAAACAGTCATCGAGAGTCGTTATATTAGGAAAGTGTTGCAGCAGAGTTAATGCTATAAACAGGCAGCTGCAAGTCAGATCATACATGGAGAAACTCACATTCACTCAATCACATCAAAAGCTAGTTTGAGGACCAAAGCAGAAGTTCAAAACGACGCAGAAGAACAGAACATGATACATTTAAAGGAAGCCTTAGCTTTCCTCTCGTTACAACCAACACCTTCACATAGCCTGTAATGATCTTCAGCATCATTCATTCCTATATTGGTTTCACCCTCATCCCCTCTCTGTGCTAGCCTGGGCCTCCTAGCCACAATAGCCAGAGACATCTGTAGATCTAATACCTTTGTCCAGAATAATAACTTGAATAAATCACACTTCATCACTGCGAGTTTCCGTAGGCTGTTACCAGATATGACTAGTCTGCAGTCAAAATACACCTATAGAGTTAGGACAGGGGCTGGTCCTAAAGGGATTTTAAGGAGTTGTGTATCTGATGCAGGCATCAGACTGGGTTCTGTACCCAGCTAAAATGGCTGGTGTGAGTGCAGCTCTGTTAAGTGAGTCTTGTTAAGGCATTACACAGTACGGCCAGCAGGGGACACAAGAGCAGATGCCTGAAATAATGTGACAGAGCAAGTCCCTCCTCCTTACTGTACAATCATACACTCACATATATAGAATCCCACTAAAAAAGACAATCTGTTGGTCTCCTCTGTGGGGGACAATCAAAAGATGAAAGTGAAAATGGAGAGTGCTCTGGGAAAAAGATATTGCACACTCAGCGGTTGAAATATTCTATTTTGCAGCAGTTAGCAACACGCTATGCAGTCTCGAGCTAAAAATGAGTGGCACTGAATTGGGTTCTCTCTTTATACACCTGCTGTAGCCATAGTAGTAGTAGGAAGCCATGGGGAAGATCATGCAAACTACAATACGATTAAATACAGTTTCATGAAATATGGCTTTTGGTTATCTAATCAAACATTTCACATGCCACAAATACCTTCAGGATAAATACTTTAATATATGGAGCAACCTTTCAGGGACAAGGACAAAATCCTTCCGCAAGTTATCCATCTATGCCAAAATCCTTCAGAATTTCATCCACGTATACATACAGACATATGGTATGTATTGCACTTTTACATGCGATAATGTTTCGGTCCACTGTAATGCACTCCCCTAACTGTGATTGTCATGAGGTGTTGGGGGGAGAGGGCGGAGTAAACACTATTCTTACTGCGCTCCTGAATTATTCAGAATGAGGCTTTATTTTGTGGTGACACCACTGTGCATGTGTTGGTATTGCTGACTTTTGGTTTTAAATGATGTTGAATCAGTGCATGAAATTTATATTCAGACTGCACTGAACCTGCAGTATAAAACTGTACACTGGAGTGTAAGCATATTGTGCTGTGGAGTATAGGTACCACCAGGTGATGAATTCTGTCTAAAGGTATGCGATGTGAAGAATGGGAAAATAAAAAGGCAAAACAGAAAGGCAGGGCAGGCCTTTGAGCCGTTTAAAAGTTTGGAGGGGAAAAAGGACACTAGAAGTCCTGCCAAAACGAAACATGACCCTGCGAGAGTAAAACAGCGTGATGGTCCTCTATCGACTGGCTCTTCACACAGACAGACTTCCACAAAAGCATCGAGACAAAAAATATAAATAAAAACAAATAAAATCAAGATGAAAGGCAGAATAAAAGAGTGCAAGGGGGGAGACACAGTCTTGCCCAGGTGGCTCTGGACTATTAAGGAGCCTGTCTGTGGAGTCTAGGGCAATAAACCATTGTGTGTATGTGATGGCCTTTTCGGTTCCAGCCATGAATGGCGTTCCCTGGAGAGGCTCACGTCAGCAGTGCAGTGAAAATAAGGAACGTTTCGGCTCATTTGTGCCTTGGAGAACTCTTCTTCCTCTTACGTTTGAAGAAGCAGCAGCACCTGGGGGGGGAAGAACAAAACACAAAACTATTAGCTGTATGTGTGACGGCGACTCCATATACAGTAAATGTACTTCACTCTGTAGACTACGCACAATCACAGCCATTGTAATTCATGAGAAAAGACGTCAATAGGTTTGTAAGGGGTTGTCACGAAAACCACACAAAGTGCAAAACACAGACCACAAGACAACAACATGGGCATTAATGAGAGGGTGTACAGACATGCTGTGGAGAGAGATCTAAGACAAAGAGTGGTACGTCAGATGACTTCTGAGCCCAGAGGAGCAAATCTGCTGCCACTACATCAACCAACATAGATCAGTGAACTTTTTCAGGACTTCATAATAAAGAGTGACACTTAATACACTGCCATTTAACATAGTGCCACATGATAATAACTAGAACACAATAAAGAAAAGCCTCGAAGTTTCTGCGTTTATTTGCAACTCGTCATAACAGCACTATATATCTATATCCCATTTCCTGAAGTTGGTAACATTTTAAATGATTAACTCCACACACATAAAAGCCTTGCCTCACCAAATTAAAGTTAGCTAGAGAGGGAAACGTGTCTAAGGTAAAACGCCCTGCCCAGCCGGCCTCTGTCTGATTACAGTACAGTGCAGTTTGAACTATAACCTGTGCGGGTGACTGTACATTGCAGGTCAGTACTAGACTTTATCCTGTCTGCCCGTCCCTGGAGTGGGATGAGTACAGGAGAGAGAGAGACTCACCACAAGTTGAGCATTTTCACGCAGCTACAGAAAGCGTAGAGAGAGAGATAGAGATTAATACTATACACACAAACAGGTGGAGTGGCAAGACATGCAACACTGCAGGGTGATAAGAAATGCATAGCACATACATACACAAGGCAAAGGGGTGGAGTATGTATAGACAACATGAATGGGGCGGTGCATAAAAAAGAAACAGGAACAGCTAGACCCTGTGAAACCAATAGGAGTGGCTTTGAGGACAACACTTTTACAACACAGAAATAAGGAGGAAGAAGAAGACTGAAGAGAGGGGAAAACAACATACTTAGCCTCATCCACCACTTCCACTTCTGCTTGTGTTGTTATTGGTGCATTGGAGTGGGCTGCTAAAGGGTCATCTGCATTCAGTTCCCCATTGGTTGAGCTGACCACCTGCAACAGAAGTTCAGCCAATCAGAAGAAGGGTTTCACACAATTAGAAAGGGAACATTTTATGATCTTGTTGGCATTGTTTCCACTTATTATTGCCTTGATAACAGTCAATCAAAGTTTATCAAAGATAAACTTAAAACTATACTTGTCTCCAATAAAGGAAAAGAGGCTCATAAACTAATGAATCACTTAAAAGAAATAGTTGAGCAAAAAAAAAATATTTACAGTTTTTGAGTTACTCCAAATCAAGTCAATCAGCCAAAACATGTTCGATGTCCAAAGTTTTACTGTTTAGTCTTGCACTGGAGCTACAAAGCTAATGTTGCTAACAAGTAATGGACACTCAAAGGGGAATTCCAGCTTTCACAATTCCTGCACAATTAAATGGCTGACATGTTAATAAATTCATTCTGACTGGTTTGATGTGAAATGCTCTGTTCTAGAGAAACTAGAGTTATTGTCAAACTACTTTGAATGATTTTGAATACATCTCAATGACTTAATTAATGCAGAAACTTTCCTTAAAGCCCCACCAAGCACTGTCCAATTTGACAAAAGTACAACAAAAGTTGCCCATACATGTGAGCAACGTAGTTGGAAACTCCAGTACAAAACCAAACATGCTAATTCCAGACAACAAACATGTCTTCGCAGATCAAATACATGTGAGGTAAAGGGAAAACTTAGATTTAAAATTAGATTTTTTGCCAAACTACTTCCTTTAATAAACAGTGAGTATCTTTTGCACTCCTTTGAAGCCCTCTCATGAATAACAGTGCTGTCCATTCATGAGCTGGTCAAATAAAATAAAGCTAATGCTTAGCTGGTGCCAAGATGAGGGAAAAATAAAGAGCGTAAACAGAAATGCTGCGTTTGTGTGAAGGGAATAGCGTGTGAGGCGCTGTGGTGTGGCAGAGGCGAGGTGAGGGCCGTGGTGTGTCCAGATCCTCGCTGTACCTGTGCGGAGCCCCCATGCCGGTCAGCAGCCAGATACGAGCTCAAGTAGGATAGGTTGGTCTGCCGAAGAGGCTGCACATCCCACGCTCCCCTGTGCTCCGAGCTGGCCGTCTACCCCACGCAAAAGTAACAGCCAGTGGGAGAGAGGACAAGCGAGAGAGAGAGAGAAAGAGGGAGGCAGGCAGCCATGCATCGCGCACACAGAGAGCACAAACAGATCAACACAGGGGACAGAGGCAAGGCAGAGCGGTGTTAGTTATGTGGCAAGAGCAACAAGGTTATGAGACAAAAGATAGGGGGAGTGACAAAACACCGAAAAAAAAAACAACAAGAAAGTTAAAATAACTCCAATCAACTTGAAAAGAACATGAAAGGCAAACACTAGTGGCATGTGTCTGTACAGCCTGTAGGAGAGCTCATAAGCACTAAAACGTACAATGATGCAAGGGCTAAAACTCAGTATGACTCATCCATCTTTCATCCATTCTCTCAGGCTCAAATCCCCAGCATCGCTCCAGTGACTCTGCCTTCCTCAGTCAACCCAGAACAACACATAATCCATCCATCTGCTCTTGTGATATTAGCATATTCCAAGGCTGTGGCTGGACTGGGTAGTGTATGTAGTTCAAGTTATTTTAACTATTTGTACACAGGATAATCTTGCTATAAATTATTTTAAATTATGGGGCTATATGATTTATGCATTGGTGTTACACTAAAATGCTCCTTATGCAATACGTTCAGCTGCTTGCAAGCAGATTTCTGGTGTCTGTCAGGACTAAAATCACTGAGAAACAACAGCAATAATTACATTACCCCACCTCCCCATGGGGTAAAGTAGAACCATGTAAAACTAACCCCTTTTAGTCTAAAAGACTTTTGCCTAAATGGACAGAATGTCCTTCCACTGGGGGCACACATGAAGCACACGGAGACAGAGGACGGTTCCTAGCAGTGACGGATGAATACAACAGCCTGTCCTCTACCAGGCAGAAGTGCTTCGCTTCATTTTTCTGCTCATTCTCTCCTTTACAACCATCACCTCTCTCATCTCTGCCTCCCTCTCTTTCCATTCTCTCCTTTTTTTTCTTCTTTCTCTCCAAGTAATGATCAGTTTACGTAGTGCAGCTCACAGTGACTAATGTCAGTACAGTCAGAGGCATCGCTGATTCTAGGTCAGCACTCTGAGATACTTTATAAATGCAGGCCAAGGTGCAGCACTGTGTGATGTCAGTAGTATAGGAGCAGTCTGAGATCAGCCAGACAAGCCACAGGACAGACAGAGTAGCACCACTCCAGCTTAGCCAATCAGAGTAGAGCCCATCAGCCTGGCCAATCAGCATGCAGTAGAGCTGCTAGAGGAAAGGGGTGGGGGGGCTGGAGCTTCTCCAGGATGGAAATTAATTTCTCTCTCCAGGGCTGTCTTTATGATTCCACTGCTTTTTTGTCTCACTCTCTCATCTTCTCAATCTATTTAATACCTCACACAAATGAGAAGGTATTTTACCAGTCTGTCTCCTTAAATTCTCACATCTCTCACTCATTTTCTCTCTTGTTTCTGGAGTAGAGCTCTCTTTAAGTGAGCATGTTTGAATGGTGCTGTATACCTGGTTACGCAGTGGCTGATGTTGTGAAGGTCTCTCTCTGTTGGTGTGGGTTTCTCTGGTGATGGCAGAGGCTCCTGAATCCACAGGAACTGACCCAACTGGTGTTGGCTGGGAGAGAAACAAACAGAAATTCAGAGCCATGAAATGAAATACATAGCATTAGGTAGCTCTGCAAAACGGGCCAAAACCATAATCTTTAACATTTAATTAACCATAACAGTGAATACTCACTATTTGTCTGCCAACCCAGTCATACGTGTAGTCAAACGTATATCCTTTCCTCTCAAAGAGTTCAGTAAAGAGAGTCCTCAGATATTCGTAATCGGGCTTCTCAAAAAAATCTAACCGTCGCACGTAGCGCAGGTATGTAGCCATCTCCTCTACAGAGGCAAAGAGAAGATATATTACAAAAAGACAGCTATATAACAGCCCTTTTCTAGGTCTGGATGACGTAGGACAGGGATCCCACTTTTTTTGAAAATCTTTTTCCAGGACTTTTTCCAGGAAAAATTCCAGGACAATTTTCATGACTTACATACACGACAGCTGTTGCACACAAAAGGTCACGTTAAAATGATGCACAATATTCTTATTAAAGCCAATAATACAACCTCTAATGACACCTTACTGATATAATGACACATACACCACAAACAATCATCATTTGATCACAAGTTCATTCAAATCATTCGAAATGAACAATATATACCGCAAGAAGCTGCCACGTGTTAATGTAGCCTTGCTACACCAGGGCTCCGACACAGCGTCCACGTATCCATCCACATGCGACACTAGTATTCCAGACTACAGTAGGTATCAATAGACAGTGGAATGTATGCAAGAAAGAATAAGCTAAAATATGAAATCTCAACTTTACACTTTTCCAGGAACTAATATTTTAGGACAGATTATCTATTTTCTTACTTTCTAGGTATTTTCCACAATGGGGAAACTAATCTACACATTTTCAGGACGTGTGGGAATTCTGACATTTAAATCATAGTATTGTAATATGATGTTAGCTATTGTTAAAGCGTAATTTAACATACAAACAGTTCTCTCAACAGCACTGCAGTGCAAATATCCTGAACGTTCTGTGAAGCTCATGTTTTCATTAACATGTTTCATCTGTCCACATTTGTTAAGCTGTTTTTCTTGTTAATTCATATACATAAAACAACATTTAACTAGGCAGCCCACAATGTTTTATGTAAGTGGTTTAGGTTTATTTAAACCTTGATGTCAAGAAGACTGAAAGAATGTGAAAGGCAGGTGTTCAAATGCCAGACAGAGGAGTCCAGTCATACCTGGGAAGTTCTCACAGAGAACCTCGATGGGAGTGTTCCGTTTGGTGTCTCCGATTTTCTGGTAACGCTCTTTCAGTGTGTCAGCCTGTTGGACCAAAAAAAAACAAAAAAAAACAACTTGTCAGATCTTTAATTTTATCTTAATCCTACACAACTAATGAAAAACATTTTATTCTTCATCAATCAAATCTCATTCAAGAAATATCTAATGAGCTGCAAATCACTGTGAGGAAACAGACTCACCTTTAGGCCCTGCCATGGCAGACTTCCCCTCAGGAAGTACATAAACATGTGACCGAGAGCTTCTAGGTCATCTCGCCGACTTTGCTCTGAAAAAGGGTCAGAAAGTCAAATAACACTTAAATGGCCCATATCATATTAAAAAGAAAATATACAAAAGTAAGATACAGGCCATAAGTCAAGGTGAGCCTTTAAGCACGTTTATATGTGTATGCATACCTTTTCCCAAGTGTGTGTTGATGGACATGTAGCGCGCTGTCCCAGTCAGGCTCTTGTGTTCTCTGTAAGGTATGTGTTTTTTCGTCTCTGGGTCGATGTACTCCTTCGCCAGTCCAAAGTCAATTATGTGGATGATGTGCTCCTTTTTACTGCCCTGACGACCGATGAGGAAGTTCTCTGGCTTGACATCCCGGTAGATGAGGTTTTTTGAGTGCACATATTCCATCCGACTTATCTACACACAAAAACAACACAGAGGAATCATTCAACAATCTGAATGAGGATTAGGCAAATGAACTTGCAAGGGTAAAGCAGAGGGTTACTGGGATTAGATTTACAAATTTAAATCTTAATCTCATTTTATAATGGTGAGGCAAACACTTCTGTTAGATCAGAATGAACAGGTACATGTGTGAGGGACTACTAGGAAATTACTTTAGAGGAAATCCAGTGGTTCCCAGAGTTGGGGAAGACATACTCTGCTCATTTTTTTTTTGAGTTGTCCACAGGCTAACATACCTGATTGACCTCAATAACTAATTATCAAGCCCTTTATGAGAGGAGTCAATTGTTTTAAAGCAGGGAAAACACTAAATAGTTGTCATCATAAGCGAGACTGGAAACTGCTCATGTAACTTATACACGACTGGCCCTGGCGTCAGGCGAGAAGGATAGTCAAGTTATTCTCTTCTGTACATTCAAAGCCACAGAACTGGGTGTTCAGCTGCCCCATAACATTGAGGCAACAGCAGTGTGAAAGGACTTATGGGGCAGGCCTCAATTAACTGCCTTCATACACTAAGTGTAAACAAAACAAAAACAAACATACTCACCAGCTGAATGGCAATCATGAGAACTGTTTTCAGCGAGAATGTTCGGTCACACAGGTCAAACAAGTCTTCCAGACTGGGACCAAGAAGCTCCAGAACCATTGCATTATACTTCCCACACGGGCCAAAGTAGTAGACCTGCGGCAAGCCCTCCACTGAGAGATGGAGAGGAGAGAGAGGGAGAGACACAGAGTTTGCGTTATCTTTTAATTACTAATTTAGCCAAAAAATGTAAAGTATGTAATTTTAATATGGATTTAATTTGGGAGGAGTTAATTGAGTGATTGGCCTAGTTGTGGAGTTATGAAAAAGGAATAAGCTTCCTTAAGAGCCTTATTAAACTCACTATCTATTTAGTACTTGGTTGAGGAAATGATTTGCTAAAGCAGCTGAACCCTGAGTACTAGCTAAATCCTGGGCACTGCTTGGCATTTTCACTCAAAGGACTCTTCTGTTCTTTGAACTACCCGCGCTCAAACCCTAGTATATTACAGCAATCCTTTCTAGGTAATACTCGAACTTCAAACCCTTGCAGAAACACTCCACCTTACGGGCCATGCCGCATCACTTTTATGCAACAGCAGCCATGCACAGACAAAGGGCACATTTTTCTGTTTACGTCAAATGTTTGCCACTTGAAACATACAAAGTACGCTGGGGAAAACTGAAAGAGTGACTGTAAAAGTAACAGATGATGATACATTACTCAACTTCGTGGTAGTCTATCATTTTCTGTTCAAATATGAGCCCTCCAGTCATTTTTGCAGGAATTGTAATCAGTGGAGATAAACTGTTGCTTCAGTCTTGCTGGGATTTTAACTCTGGCTAGTGTTGTTACTAGCTCCATTTGATTACCATAAAATTCCTGCATAAATGGGTGTGTTTGAAGGGGGCTTTGGTGTGGGCTCCATTCTGAGCTGCTACAATACTGCTGTTCACAGTTCCAGCATGTCACTGGAATCCTGTTACTGCAGACAGGCACGTTAACCTGTGCTGTAAGCAGGATAACCACTCCAAAAAATGTCATTTTCTTTTAAAGCCCAGTCATCCAATGTAATATTAACTGACAGGAAATGATTCAGAGCAGCCAGAGAAAGGTTTCTGTGAATCACACTGGACACGTTCTCAGTCATGTTTATGTGCACAGCCAAAATCACCTTCTGTTTTATAATACAGGCTGGAAGAATTAAGTGCGAACATAAACACTGCTGCATTTTAGCACTCCACCCCCAAACAAACACACACACACACACGCACACACACACAAACAAAGGACAAGCATTAATTTAAGAAACCCACAGAGCACATCTACTGGCTTACAGCAGCTGGCATAAATTTAAATAATGTAATACTATCTGTCAACTGGGTGTCATTAAGCAGTACCAACAGAACATACTACTTGTAAAACAGATAAAAACAGTTTTAATGCTATTCACTACACAGTGCTGGAACTCCCACAAAACGAAGCTGAAGCTTAATGAAGGTATGAGAAGGGTTTCTACATGTAAATGATAATCATTAACCATTAAAGAGCTACTAATCCATGTTACTGTAACTTTTCTCAACTCTTGTGCCTTTGCAGCTTCAATTTCTAAGAATTCCTCCCAATTAGTTGTGTATTTCTTATTACAGATGTGCACTGAACAGACAGTACAGGACAAAAAAAGGACACAATGTCATTAGCAAAAGATTCTTATTTTATCTGGAGCCTAATGGATAACAAAACCGGAATCTCTAAAAGGCCTAAATGTCCTGAAGAGAAACTCTCTTCAAAACAAGCGAGGTATGTCAGGAGGGACTGAGTGTGGGTGCTTCACTCTCGGGTGGGCAATAATGAAACAGAAACTACTCTTGCTTTTAAAGCCTTGATCAGATCAATCCTTAACACACACACACACACACTATCAATCTAACTACTCCTAAAGGCTGAATCACTGATTTATACATCACCATATGACAGTTCTGGTGTCAGTAAACCCCCCTATTCCAGCATTCATCATCTAGGAGAGTTCACCAGGTTCTGCCTGAATCACAAGCACAGCACGTAGGCTTTTGGAAACAACAGAATTATGTAACTCGTCCCACACCAAACTCGAACCAATCAGCAACACTGTGTGCAAAATCTTTTAGCTGAATCTTGACTGACACACATTCCCAGAATTAATGTTGAGCTTATATTAAAGATTATTTCTGACAAGTAAGCTTTACTGCATTACATCAGTGATTTCACTGGCTGATTGGTTCATGAGTGAGAGAGAGAGCAAGAGAGTGAGAAAGAGAGAGTGAGAGAGTGAGAGTGAGAAAGTGAGAGACAGGGAGAGGGAAACAGACAGAGGGGGAGAGAGAAAGAAAGAATGAGAGGGGAAGAAGGAGATAAAGAGAGGGACAGAAAGATAGAAGAGGAAGAGAGAGGAAGAGAGAGAGAGAGAGAGAGAGAGAGAGAGAGAGAGAGAGAGAGATATGATGTATTCATTCCATGTCAGAGATCCAGACTGTCCTTCATTAAATGCTTGAGAATCTTTCAATGTGTTACAAGAAAAGAAAAAAAAATATCAGGTTACAGAGGACTAAGATAAATTAGAACACAGAGAGGAAGTGTCTGTGTGTCTACGTGTGAGAGAGACAGTGTGTGTGACAGATCAACATCCATATTAGGGAAACGGTGCTTAATGTACACCATGCACTACAGAGAGCTGTTCATCCATTTTAATAGAGAGAGAGACACAAAAAGACATACAGACACAAAGCCCACCCTCCTCACTCAGTGTAACCCCACTGATCGTGAATCAGTCATGACTTGGTAGAGAAATGCTGCACAGCACTTCACATGCAGTGAATAGATATAAACAGGGGAGATCAGAGAAGAGCTGCATGGATGTGTGTGAATAAACAGACATGACAGTTGTAACATTCATGCTCAGCGCTAAGTGGTCATTCCCTGTAAACCCTTCCACACACAACACGCACATGTCTACCAACAAACAAAACAGTGAAGTTCTGGAAATGTATTGGTGTCTCTCACAGACACACAGACAGCTGCATTTCACAGCAAAGCCACGGCATTAAGCTAAACTTCCTGTGCTCGACAGAACTTCCTGTTCGTCTCAGCATGCACAGAGATGAAATCTCCCACTGATGACCTAAAATGATAGTCACTACTCAGGAATAACCACTAGGCTCCATCTAACATACAGACAGAGCTCATGTTAACAAAGCGCTACTACAGATACGCTACATACGATACTAAACCAAGATACAGATATAAACAGCTGTGTGAGCTCCAACATACATACACATAGAGACTAGAGACAGCACATCAACATTTTCCTTTTCCAATACCCATACTGAAATTCCAAAAGGAGTGTGATAAACTAGAATGGGAATGCATTTGCTAAATAAATAATGTAAAAGCGGATAGAATTATTATCTTAGATGATTCTCTTATGTCCGGCTGGCAGAATGTAGCATGTACCTTTATCTTATCAAAGAAGGAAACATAATTGTGATATATATATATATATATATATATATATATCACAATTATATTATATATAATACCTGGATGATTCAGGCTAATTGCTACAGAACGGATTAATTCTTTTTTCCCCTCCAACACACAATCCAGCAATTTCTACCAGCCCCATACTGATAATCACAGAAAACAACAAGCCAATCTCCAATACAAACACATGCACATGTGAACACACGCATTAACACAAACACATACTCTACAAGAGGACAAGCATGTGTCTCATCAACACTACAGGAAGACAGCTGCACTTTGGCACCTGTGGTTCCAAGAAGGGAGTGTGTGAGACAGTGACACATACTGAGAGTGAGAGAGAAGCAGGCGTGTGTCAAAAACCTTTTACTGCATTTTTTCCAAAAAAACAAAAAACTTCAAAAACAAAACAACAGATTCCATCCTGTGGCAGTGGGCTCACATCTTCAGAAACACAGACAATCTCTAAGACACAACCTGGTTCTCAACCTGAGGGTCACAGGATGGTTGCAACACTATTGTGTCTGATCCACTCGTAAAAGCACAAAACACTAACACGTGACCACCACATCATTGGGACTGCAGTGTTGATACACCATCCAAACAGTACCTGCTATGTGGGGGTCCTGACCATTGAAGAACAGGGTAAAAGGGGGTTAACAAATGATGCAGAGAAACAGATGGACTACAGTCTGTAATCATAGAACTACAAAGTGCTCCTGTATGTAAAACAGAATAGAGCGTAGATACCATGAGTTGTAGTTAAATTAAGTGGCCGGTCGATGTATATTTTTCACACCAATTATATGATGTTATTATAGAGTTGTAGCCAAAAAAAGTCTCTAACCGGTAGCAGTGTGCAGCTGTGCTTAGTCAAGCAGCTCACCTAGCAGCTAACTTCAATATCTTACTACTATGAAGTACCCACAAATGGAGTATTGGCTTGTCAGCCAACTTACTACACCTAAAAGCTAAAGCACTGGTTTAGCTAATTTATCAAAATACAGTGGCATGTAAATAAAATAAAACTGAAATGCGAAAGGAAAAAAGCTTAAGAGCAAGAGAACAGGAAAAAGGTGTAAGACAATGGAATGAGATGGTAATCACCAGAAGTGAATAGGTGCTTTCAGACATGCAATCTTGTCTGCAAATCTAACAGCTGATTTTTGCTGTTTTTGAAATGCTGGCAAGTTGCCTTTTGGCAAGCTGATGTTTGAGGTCTGATATTCAACAGCTCATGGCTTAAAAACCATAAAACATCCATCTATGCCATAACATTAATGGATCAATGTACATTGGTTAGGACATCAGTGTTGAAGTTGAATCTCAGAGTGAGATGAATCTTGTGATCAATTCTCCAATTCACTAAAAAAAATGTGACATTTCACAATATAATTTTAGAGATACTGAACTGTTTTATTTCATATGCTACAATGAATAATTCCACTGCACTTTTAAAATTATATCTGAACTGCACATATGACTGTGTAAAGTAGCCCACTGCTTACTATTTGTGTACTGATTGTACCCAACAGAAGTAAAAAGTAGTACACAGTATGTGACAAACATGAATTTTACCAGTATGCCAAAGATAACTGGGGTGTATCTCAAAGAGCTCCCTAGTTCAGTAGCCAGGGTACTGCCCAGGGAATCAGCCATTTTCTAGGGTGTCTCAGTGTAAGAAGAATCATTCCAGAGCACTGGAACTTTAAATCTCTGAGAGTTCCCACCATGCACTGTAAAAACTGAGCATCGACTGTTTATTATGCCTGTTCCCTGACCATTTTTAATGAAATAACACAACAGAACCGCTATATCTCACAAGTATTGAACTTTATTTATTCATTTGATTCATTTGACAAAGAAGCCTGACCTTCTAACAGACTAAGTAGGCCCCTTCAGAAATATTCAGTTAAAGATCTTAGGTTTAAATTTTTACTGAAAGGATCAGTTGTAATGTCTATTCAGTTATCAGCTGACTATGTACAGCTGCTATGAACTGCTTAGGTGAACCATGGTTAGTTTGGCGCAAGCATTGCTAACAGAAATTAGCATTTATACCAGCAGTGTTAATCACCTTAAGGCTTAATTGCACTGAACATGTCTACATGTGATTGACACACGGTTGTATCTGGGCCTCCGTGTAAACGAAATATGACTGTTCATGAAAAGACCGAAATATTACACCCAAAATGACAGCACAGCTAAGCACAGCACAGTAATCAATGTTGTTAGCACTTTGTCGTTGCATACTGTTTTCACTTTCTGTTTCTCAATGTTCCCACCTCCAAGGACCTACCCAGCGCCTGAATTCATATTTACTATGTACTGATCCGCTACATGCAGAAGTAGTGAGTGAATGGAGACACAGCCCTTAATACTAATAATGTACTACTCTGGCCAAATAGTCCGGAATGCAGCCAGAGCTACACATTCAGGAGAACGCAACTATGGATGTAACCACGTGTAACCATACATATATATATATATATATATATATATATATATATATATATATATAGAGAGAGAGAGAGAGAGAGAGAGAATAGTATACATAGTATTAAGCAATTAAGCATGCACATAATATGCAATTTCAACCAGTCATCGCAATGGTGCCATTTTTACCAAAACAGGGTTAGCAGTGTTAACAGTTAATAAGTGTCTTTAGTCTGTGTAGACTGCTGTACTTATACTGCATGCAAATCGGAGGTCAATCTTTCTGGGGACTGTTGCTGATCAGACACTGTCGACACAAACATCACTACCTCGGAAAAACTTGTAAAGATCTTATGTAAAGCAGAAGATTCACATTTAATAACTGGCCAATTACTGCTAAACCACAAGCTGACAGTTACAAAACGAAACGACAGGAAAAGCAACCATAAAGATAAAGAGCAAGGTATAGAAAGACATGCTGCTCACCTGTGCTGCCTAGAGTTTTATAGAACCGGTACTCCAAATGTAGCTGAGGTGCCCTCGACTTCACGGGCTCCTGTATGATAAGAAAGAGAAGCGGCATCGACATTACACTTAAGGGACTTCACATCTACATTTTTATGTGCCATTCTCCTACAAAGGTTTCAATCATTTTAGTACCACACTATGGGTACACCTCTCCATGCAATCCTTAGAGGTTTTGCTGTGACATTCCAACCAGTTCTGCCTAGTATGTGAAACATGCATCGTGGATGGGCTCCTACTAGACTGAACTGACAACACAGAGTTTCATCGTTAATCACAAACCTCGTTTTGCTTTGAATTAGCGAGCCCTCCCTCAAAACAGCTTAGTTTAACAGTTCACAGCTCCTGCTAACAAGCTGATCACTGGGTCCTAACTTGTTGGATCTTGCAGTGGTGTGTTGACCTCATTTTGTTGCCACAGGAAGAGATCTCGCTGAACCACTCCTAAAGAGCACACTCGTAGGACACCTTATATCCAAACAGCACAACTACTCATCCAAATTAGTATCTTGCCAGTTAGCATTTAGTTAGCCTGCCAAATGTCCTGCCAAGCATAGGTTCTGAAAAAGATTCTCTTTAGTGGCTTGCAATGGTGGATGTGGATGAGGATCAAAGAAGACCAAGAGGTTGCCCTTGTGGCTGTGCTCCTGGAGCTACAAGATTTCATCCACTACTTACACTACTGGTTATGGTACAGTTTAGAACAGATTTTAAGGTTCTTTCATTGTTTTTAAAGCATTACAGGGATCAGCACCACAAATAAATAACAGACATCCTCAAATACTATTCCAAACCCAGGACGCTTAGATCCTGTGAACAATTTCTCCTGCATATGCCATGGTCCATTTTAAAAGGAAAGGGTGACTGTGCCTCCTCCATGGCTGCTCCTAGGTTGTGGAATAGTCTCCTGCTCCTCATTAGGTCTTCCCGTAACAATGACAATGTTAAATCTCAATTAAAGACCTATTTGATGTCTTTGGCTCTATCTGAGTTTTTTGTGTTCGTTTTATATATAAATATGACTTCACACAACTACAGACACTTGCATTATGTCTGCTGCTTGCCTTGCCTCAGAGAACTCCTGTGAGCACTTTGCTCATCTATGTCTTAAGAATGTCTGAATCAGGTTATTATGCCAAGTTAGTCTGCCTGGTCAGGAGCTGCTGTTGAGAGCCACAACTGGTCTATCAGAAAGAGGCAAAGATGATTCTGCTGCTGCTGGATTTGACTGAGATGATGAGCTTGACAGCAGTATTCTGCTAGTTGAAAAATTTGGTGATGGCCTCACAGCCTTGGAACAACTGCACACGGAGTCAGCTCCCTTTAGCTGCAATGCATGTGCAATGCAATTTTAAACTCTCTTTAAATGCAAACTATTTTAAAACACTTGTTTACATAGACAGAACAGATGGCTTTAGAAAAAGTGATCAGACGTCTATATCTTTGGCAAAGCCTCATACTGGTGAAAATATTACTAAGAAACACCTACCACAGTGAGTAGAGACTGCTTTAGTCTACAACAGTTACTCTGTGTAGCTTACGTGTGGTGGCCAGCAGCATTTGCAAGGAAACTGGATATTACCTACACCAATGAGTACTGTAGAGACTTGTCTTGGGAGCAGGGCTCACCTGGTAGACCCTGAATCGTTCATGTTAGAACAAATGGACAATTAATTTAGTTTTACAGCTGATCTTTAAGGTAAGCTTTACTGATCATCTGAAAGTCAGTTTATCCCATATTGAAATACTGGAAATGAATGCTGGAATGACAATTTTCTATTACAAAAGTAAACCCAATTCTATGACGGCATGACAGAGTTTCCTCCCTGGATCACCCTGCTTGCATATAGCAAGGAAGAGGTATAAGAATTTTAAAGGATGATGAGACACTGTGTTAACCATAAAACATATAGACTGGCCCCTCCCCAACACATATGCCTGGACTGCCTTCAAGCAGGAACTGGTGCACTGAAATAAGTGCTTCTGGAGACTTTGTCAAGAGACGTATCCGTAGTAAGATACCTTACTCCTGTTATCAGACAACCTGGGTTATATCTGTCATCTCAAGTTTCACATTCACATCCAATATCCATGTAACAGCATAATACTTTCTCAATAACCGATTTCATTTAAAGGGACAAATCAAACATTTCTTTCAAAATCTACCCAGCTTTAGCTAGTTAGTTGATAGCAGTCACAAAACAGACACAATGAGACACAATCCAAAATCAGTCTTTTGGATTGTCTTAGTCCAGTTGGGGGTTTAAGTCACACTGACTTTAATTTTACAGAATTTATCTGTAAACAACCAAGTATTGCAGATAATATGACACAGATTTGTTGTCTGTTACTATTAGAAAATAGACTCAAAATAATCCTTGCCAAATTAAATGTTTAGAGGTACTGACGACTGATTTAATTACAGTCTGAAAGGCAATTCCTCCTTGATAACTCAAGCGTTCAGCTTTGTTTACCCTAACATGATGTTAGGGAAAACATGATAGTAAACAACACCATCAGAGCTTTAAAGCATGTTCAAGAAAGTACTGTGTACAAATTTAAAGGATGCAATGAGTTTCCAACCTATTTCTCCTGCTTTATAGGAAGACGTTACTTACCAGTTTTATTGCCACATATTCGTTGGTGTAGAGGTTCTTACCTGGAAGAAAGTAGAAAGAAAAACTGTCACGGTCAATGTCTGAGGTTGAAAAGCTTTTGGTTATGGTTGGTATTAAAATATATTTTTGTAGCTAAAATGTGTGTAAAATGTTTTAATAAAGTGTCATGGAAAGTCCTCATTTGACACTTTGCTAAATTCTAAACTGCACGAATTCTTATTACTAGCTTGTAGTAAAAAATGTGTCCTCCACAAGTTATTCAGGTTAAGTCTAGATAAAACACTGGTGGTCTTGGGGACCTCACGCTCTCTCCATTTTTGTTCTTCCTGTTCTAAAATAACCAACTTCCCCTCATGAATGGCTTGACAGCTGATGAGTTGATTCAAGTGCTTTAGATCAGAGATAGCAAAAACTGTTCAGAGCATCAGATCTCCAGGACTGGGATTGGGGACCACTGCATTTAAGCCTATACTGCATCTTCAGAATGTTTGCTCACATAGTTCAATAACTGGCCTGTTTCAAATGCTTTACATAAATATGAAACTCTGTGAGAACTGTCTCATGAAATAAAACACAGGCAAAATGACAGAGTAGAAAATAATTGCTCTCTACCACTTCCTTACGCTTCTTAGACCTGTGTGCAGCCATCTTTCCATGATGAATCACACTTGAGAAGGTGTCATGCGCAAAAATAATACCGCCAACACCACTAGTAGCTCCAAAAATCAGACAAATCTCAGCATACATCGCAGGCAACCATGCTTCAACTACACAGGGAGAACATATCAGAGGATAATATGTTCAGAGTTTTGTGCATCAGCTAAGTACAAACTGTTCTACTGAATCTATTGATATAGTCCATCAGAAAAAATCCTTTTACTCCTGCAATGGCTGGAACGTTCAAAATGTATAGAAGGAGGATCTCTGGTTTTTAAAGCATTTAAGTGAATCAAAACAATTGTTTTAAATTCACAATTGCACACTAATGTTCCTCATGGCTATTAAATTTGGGTGTCGTGTCAAAAAGTCTGTCTGTCACAAGAGTCAAATTAAACACAGAGACGCAAAGCACATCTCAGTAAAGCTATCAGACTCGTGACCTACGGCCATATGCTAAAGTTTGAACACTCCTGGTCAAATGGCATGTTTTGTTGACTTTCAATGTGGCATTTTTATGCAAATTTTAGCGCACAATATCTATTTTATGTTGAGTTTAATATATTGGAAACAAATAAAACAAAAATATGCCATAACTTAGGCCACATTTCATGTTTTTTTCCTCAACATGTTAAATTTAGCAAATAAACAGTACTTGTCAATTAATAGGTGCAGAAGTGTGTTCTTTTTAAAGGATGTGTTAACTTATTTTCAACAAAACGTCACTTGACCAGGGGAGCCCAAACTTTTGCATACGACTGTATATGTTGCCAGTTTTAATATTAACATGCATTTTTACACATTACAAAGCTGCTGGTTTCAGCTGCTGGCTAACGAAATGGTTAGCCATAAAGAAAATATCTTATTATATCACATTCTACTTTGAATTCCGAAAATATAAAACTTACCAAGCTTCAGCTCCCCAAAATTCCCACATCCAATCTTCTTTCCCACACGGAAGTTTGGTCCAACCATCAGCACGCCGGAGGACCCCGAGCCAGAGGGGCGAGAGTGTGCGCTGCGGCCCTGAGCAGCCTTGCTGCTCCGAGCTGGCCGCTCGCCCTCCTTCTCCCGTGTGTGCTCCATGACCCTGAGCACTGAGGGAGCAAGAGAGGCCCCTGAGAGAGCGCCTCAGCCTGGGACTGCGGGCATGGGACGGTGAGATCAGGAACCACACGGCAGCCTCTTACTGCTGGAACATCATGACGGCTCAGGGGATGCAGTGCAGTTGACCTGCGTACAGGAAAGTTTGAAGGGAAAGTTATGAGTTTGTTTTCACATTCAAACTGAGCTGAATGCAATTAGCAAATTCATTTTCATATGATGAGCACAACCTATATGGACAAAAGTATTGGGACACATCTCTTAATTGTTGAATTCAGGTGCGTCATTCAGTCCCATTGCCACAGGTGTATAACATCAAGCACCTAGCCATGCAGTCTGTCTTTACAAACATCTGTGAAAGAATGGATCATTCTAAAAAGCTCACTGAATTCGAGCGTGTTACTGTAATAGGATGCCACCATTGCAACAAGTCAGTTTGTGAAATTTCTTCCCTCCTAGGTTTTATTAAAAAGTGGAAGCGTTTAGGAGCCACAGCAACTCGGGGGTCGCCAAGTGCTGAAGCACCTAGTGCATAAAAGTCACCACTGCTCTGCTGACTCAATAACAAACCTCCTCTGGCATTAACATCAGCACAAAAACTGTGCGCCGGAGCTTCATCGCATGGGTTTCCATGGCCAAGCAGCTGCATGCAAGCCTTACTTCACCAGGCACTATGCTAACCGCCACTGGATTCTGGAGGAGTGGAAATGTATTCTGTGGAGTGACAAATCACGCCTCTTTATCTGCCAGTCTGATGGACAAATCTGGGAAGTGCGTTACCTGCCTGACTGCAATGCACCAACTGTAAAGTTTGGTGGAGGAGGAATAATGCTATGGGGTTGTTTTTCAGGGGTTGGTCTAGGCCCCTTAGTTCCAATGAAGGGAAATCTTAATGCTTCAGCATATCAAGACATTTTGAACAATTGTATGCCTTAAACTTTGTGGGAACAGTTTAGGGAAGGCCCTTTTCTGTTCCAGCATGACTGTGCCCCAGTGCACAAAGCAAGGTCCATAAAGGCATGGCTAGGTGAATTTGGTGTGGAAGAACTTAACTGGCCCACACAGAGAGGGCCAGGCCCTCTCGTCCAACAACAGTGTCTGACCTCACAAATGCTCTTCCATACGAATGGGCAAAAATTCCCAGACACACTCCAAAATCTTGTAGAAATCTTCCCAGAAGAGTGGAAGCTGTTATAGCTGCAAAGGGGGTTCAACTCCATATTAATGCCTATGGATTTAAAATGTCACAAAAGCCCCTGTAGGTGTAATGTGTAGGTGTCCCAGTACTTTTGTCCATATAGTGTATTATGTGGAGATCACCGGTTCATTGCTTTAGTCTCTGCTGTCAGAACTAAAAACTGCACTGGCACAAATCTGGAAGCAGAGAATTCATATTGGCGTTCCTGTTTGTGCATTAGGCCTACCAATTAGTACATGACCCACAGATCCCTGGCCATCACAGTTATATGGACACAGCCTTGTCACCCAAGGATTCTCCTTGTTAACTGAACAATTTGAGCAATTTTATTGCAGTCCACTTGGTGAACTGCTGAAAAGAAATGCCTGCTCTAGACATTAAGTGAGCAGGGACATTATGTACACTTGTAATGTACATTAAGACAATTTGTTATGCAATTATTTTCTTCGAAGTAGGAAACAGTGAAAAAAGGTGGCTCATCAAAACTGTATAAAAAACATGCTCTTGATGTTTTTTCCACATAACATGTTCCAACATATGTTCTTACAACACATTTTTAAAGTAGAAAATACATCTCCAGACCTCTCCTCACTCTACTCCACTTACCTACACAAAAAATATCAATGAGAATTATCATAATACATATGTTGCCCCTTAAGCTAAAATCATTACTTTGAGAGGACAGTATAAATAACACTTAATTTATGTCAGTCACAAAACACCTCACCCAGTGACAAATCATGAAAACACTTCTCTATAATGCGCTGCAGTAATGTTTAGACACAGTAAGATGATTAGAAAGTAAGTAGGTTTTTTTGTACATCAGCTCTTGCTTTAATGTCTGCATAAAAGGTATTTTAAGACGTTTTGCTGAGTTAAGGATTCTGATATCCTGTAACACTTAATTTCGATAGTCCTGTTCTGCGATAAAGCACCAACACCAACTCTCTTTAGGGAGGCTTTGTGCAAGACACCCCCTCACTACTAACATCTTAGAGACTCACTTAAACATTTTTAATGTTCAAGAGACGCTGAGGGTGTAGGAATGACTAATGTCACATTAGTCACACCCAGCTTCAGTTTACTAGCATAAAAAATAGTGTAATACTGCGCTGATGAAGTGTACATGCTTCTTATATTTGGCTGTAAATCCAGTGTATTTTTTCAAAAATAAGCATGAAACTGAACAAAGACATTTGAAATTAAAACATGAGCCAATGGACAAATCAGGTTATACATGGCCTTGCCAAGATACCATCTTACATCTTTATTCCAGTGATTTTCTAAAGCTAAAGCTGTACTTCTGACGCATATGCAGACATTCATAAGTTCCTGGTGAACTTTTTGCATGTTTTGTGTACATAAGTTTTACAACTGTAATAATGAACAACATTTTTACTTCATCTTTAACATGCTGACCATGCATATTTAATACCTTTTAAATATTAAATCATGTCTCCAACATGTGCACTACATTAAGCACTCTGTTAATAATTCATGGCAGAAGATTTTTAAACCATCACCCTCAGATCCAAACTCATTTCCCAGTATTGTCCATTCCATTTCCCCACTACAATAACGGGTAAGGGCCTCAGCACACTAGTCTGTCAATGCATTTTGTTTGTGCTTTAGGTGACGCAAATGAGTCAAATTAGACTGGTTTCCTATGAATGATATCCTGCGAGATGATCCCAGTGTTACAACTACGAGTCAAGGTTATACTGACTTTTAGAAGGAGAGGCACTGTAAATTCATACAGTCATCACTCATGACCTTTCCAGATCTGAAAAGAAAAACATGAAAAATAAGTGTAAAAAAGTAAAAAGAAGTTAAAAACTAACTACTAGAATAGTGGAAAAAAATGACTACATTGAGGCATGTCTTGGCATCAATAAACAATCCAGACTCAGATTAACAAGAGAATCCTGGGCTAAGTGTAGGTTTTCTATGTCTGTCTGCAGAACACAGGCATTAGTCAGCGTGGTGGGCAGCGATGCAGAGCTATTCTCAGAGCCATTGATCAGAACTGGTAAATAAGCCCTGCCATGAGGTAGCTGTGCAGCGCACCACCACACAGCTCACAGATCATACAAGACACAGACACTCAATCTGGGAGAGATCATGTATTATTCAAACCCTTAAAAGGTTCAGCTAGGGCTCCAATCACAGTGAGCTTCAGGTCATTTCAATGGCAAACCAACTGAGAGCAGCTTCCGTTCATGCGTGACTGCATGGTTCACCTGTTAGATAAATCAGTTTTCTTCATTCACATGCAGCTCAATCACCTGTATTGGGTCTCTTACATTGTCGAGAAGGCCACCATCATCTCTGGGCATTACAGCAAACTAACGCACAGCTTTGCATACAGTTAAATCCACCACTGCCTTCATCAAAAGACTTCCCAAAAGTGTCATACCGTTAAAGACAGCCTCAACTATGAGCATAAGAGACACTCACTCTACTACTACACACTGATCTTGTGTTAGAGTGGATGAGGGAAACTCATGCCTGACCAAGCAAGCAATCTGCAGCAATGTAAACTATGCATGAGGGAAATAAAGTTTTTCAGTCAAAGGCTGTACAAATTCACTAAAACCAAAACAGACCAGCAGCCACTGCACAATGCACAACTGTACAACGTTGGGCTAAGTCCACAGAAAAACCAGTCCAACTAGGCTACGGGCTAAAAGCATTTAGGTAGTTTTGGTGAGTGTGATGACTGGTGATTTGGGATGAAAACCAGACAAGACATGGGCAACAAGATGGTTAGGCCCAAAAAATAATAAAAAATTACATAAACTACCAAATTTTGATTGCAAAATCCTGTTCATTTAGTAATTGTGTAAGCTTATAAGACTATTCTCTTGTTCCTCATGTGTATTTTTTTTTCAACTGACACTAATCTGGTACAACTCTACTAGGACGGTCCCACTTTGCACCTTGCAGAATCCAGGCCTGGGACAGGTACAGGTACAGTAGTTATCCCGGTTATCACTCATCTACGGACATGCATTCATTATTTCACACAATGCAGCGTTGTCAAACATGCGTTTTCAAAAGTCTGAGCACAGTTCCACTAGGGTTTTAACAGTGCGAAGGTCTGACTAGATATTAACAACACTTTGGCCAAAAATACGAACCACAGACAACACTAAACAAACCGGAACATATGTTAAGGGACGGAGCTGAAGTCAGCATCTTACTCGCCAGCTACTTGGTCGAATTTTGCCGTTCCACCTTAAATGGTGCAGCACTTACATTTTATGTGCAGCACCATTTAAGGTGGAGCGGGGAAAATCGAACACGAAGCCAACTTCAGCCTCGCTGTTAAGGGACTCATCATACATGCGCAAGCGAGAAATGCAACTGTAAACATTAATCCAACCTGACTGGCTTAACACACCAAACCGGATGAGTGTCGGTGCCCGGTGGAAGAGGACATATACAAGGCGTTATAGCTACGACATGAAGAGGAAACACAAATGGTAATTAGCTATGTAACCTGTCCCTGGACTGAGCACTGCCTGTATTACTTGAACAGTGGACAGTTTTCCCTTCTGAACTCTCGAGCATCAGCGTCGAGATTTATGATCAACGCATCATCCGAGCTAGTCCTACTAACATTACTCACGAACACAGTTTCAGGAAAAGAGGAAAAAAGCTGGTTGAGTAAACATGAATTAGCAGTAAGCCTGTTCGATATAACGTTCGAGCTGGCTTTCTGTCCTTTTATTCTCGTTAACGACACAAATCTAGCTACCAGTCTTTAAGTGGTTAGCTAGCTTACCATCTTGCAAGTTAGCAGACCAACAAGCTACAGAGGCAGCTCGGGTTAGCGTTTCAGCAGGACTGGGAGATAAAAACAGGCGCTTACTCTACAAAAGCCGACTGACGCTTGGATCACTTCATCCCCGGCCTTGATACAATCCTCTAACAGTCTTCTTGGAGTGAAATAAAAACCAGTAACTTGTTTTCTTTCTCCAATCCCGTGTCTCTGTGTGTGTCGGTGGGTCCTACAGTCCCGGAACACCGCCGCCTATAGAGCTCATCCGGGTAACAGCGGCATGTTTTTGTTCAGGCATCGGCAGAACCGTTTCAGAGAGATGGATTAAACTGAGCTCGGCCCGGTATCCCTCTGATCACTTCATCAGAGCACAGAAAACAAGCCCTATACTCCTCAGTGTGGTTCCCAACCACCAAAAGCCCAAACCGATCTGAGCCCCAGAAGTCGTTTCTCCGTCAGTGCAGCCCCGCTTGTTCTGAACGCCGCGTCTGTCCGGACTAAAGCGCTTATTCTAACGCTGTGTACTTTCTGTTGGTGCCCTCTCGAGGACGGTCATCACACTGTGTACAAGCACACTCAGAAGAAACTGTTTACCTGTGTCGCTTCAGACCGACTTTAAACTGATGTACCATATGTTCAAAGTTCATGAATGTGCATCTCTTGAGCTTTTTTTTTTTAAAACACTATTCTAGCTCTACATTGTTTCCTTTCAGTTCCTTAATCAACACCACATCGTCAAAGATGGCTTGATCCTTTTACACTGAGCCCATGGTTGACAAATACATTATTTAATGCATGTAACGGTGTTCCTTTAGAGCTCAAATCAGAGCAGGTAAATTGCCCAAGTGTGTCAGTTTTCTTTTTATATAAACAGAGCACTAAATCAGCCACAGCAGTAATACAGAATTCAGTTTTCACAAACAGCCTTTCAAGTATTCTTCATACATTCCCCTCAGGTCTACTGCTGTGTTTCTGAATGCCAACATAACGTATCAATCAGGTCACCAAACACTTGCAACTCTTGAAAAAGACAAGTTTATTAAACTTCTGTACAAAATTGAAGGCAGCATTGCAATAAGTTATGTACAAAGATTTACAATTCAAGCCACTGTGTACCAATGTAATGGTTTTTAAAATCCATTTAAAAATTCATTTATTCATCCTCCTCATCTTCATCTGGAAGTGGTCTGGATCTGCAAGTTAAACAGTACGAAAGGGGTTATAAGAGGTCAATCCAATAAATAGTCATCACCACAAGTTGGGGCTTCTAAACCAAAGCCATGTAACTTACTTTCTGGGTGCTTTGGACATGCCGCTGCCTCCAGCCTCCTCACCATCAGACACAGGGTGCTGGTTTTCTTTCTCTGGCTTCCTGCTGGGACCACCAAAGAAGTCCCCAATTCCTTTCTGCCACTTTGGGGTAGGACGTGGACAGACAGGGTTTCCACCAGCATACTTGTTTTTACCTACAACAAAAAGAAAGAAAAAAAGGGTAAATAAGGCTTGATATTTAGTTCTCACAGGAAACTGTTCCCATGCAGAGTTAATATCCAAGCATACCTCAGAGGATGCTCGGCAAAAAGGCAGAGGAGTTAGAAGAGAAAAGCCTGTCTTACCAGGGGTTCCCGCTTGAGAGCTGCTGCTCGAGGAGTTGGCGGAACTGGAGGCGCCAAGTGATTTCCTGGGCGCAGAAGCAGCGACCGCTAAAAAAAACAAAACAGTCCGGTTAGATGAACCTTTACAGGTTAACGCAGTACAGCGCTACTGAACACAAACGCTCATCAGAGGAAACTTTGATCGCCCGACTTAAACGCCCACATCTTATAAAATCTGGCGCCATTTCTGCTCGCGTAGAGGCAACCAGCCGCTTAATGTAAGCCAGCTAGGTTAACTGACTTCTAGACCTTAGTTCCTCTTTAAATCGGTAGAGTATTGACAGTACATGGTCAGACCAAGAAAGAAATCTGGATAATAAAACAAGTCTAGCGTCACATGAACTTTGCTGACGGGTTCAGTAACCGAGTTATGAGTTCTCAATTTAATTTCTACGTGTTTAACTATGTTGATTGTACGTTGATAAAGGAGAAACATGTCTCTCTTGTTTATGATCTTTTGCTAACCTATATTACTTTTGCTGTGACCCCATTCAAACATATTGGCGGGAGACAGAGCTACTTCAGCTAACGTTACCCGCCGAGGTAATAAATGAATTACAAAGAATCAGTAACACTGAGGTTCTCAGCAAGCCCACTTATCACGTAGTCCTCTCACAGACTATAAAATAACTGGAGGAAACCGATATTAAATTCATAGCCGTCGGCTGGCTAAACCTCGCTAGCGTCTTATGTTAACAATAACGTTAGCCACACAAGTTAGCTGAGGGCGCGCCTGGTATAAAACCCACAGCAGCACCCTGAAGCTAACGACACCGCGAGGAAGACATCATTACTTTTATCACTACAACCGTCTAAAACAACTTTACCTTTTCGGTAAGTCCCAGGGACACTGTCGGCTTTCGTCCTGACCATGTCTGCAGGCTTTTGGCGCTTCCTCAGCTGGTAGAGAAAAAGCAGTAAGACAAAACCTTCCCGCCCGCTTTTTAAAAGGGAGGCAAACGCCGAGAAAGTGAGGCGGGGCAAAACGTACGTAGCACTCACTCAGCCAATAGCAAGCCCGGAATTTGACCGGCACATCGAGGCCACGCCCACTCGAGCTCCCTACAGGACCCCTACCACATCGCCAGCTCACAATAACCTTTACAACATTACATTTACAGTGTATTTAGTTGGGACCCAGAAACAACGAAAAAATAACTAAGAATATTTTGTTTTTAAGTAAAGCCATATTCTAAGGGCAGCAATATTTTATATGTAAACACACACACACACACACACACACACACACATATATATATATATATATATATATATATATATATATATATATATATATATAATGCCTTTCATTAGTTTTACTTTAGAAAATGTATATAATAGGATTGATAAACACACTTGACGTCTCATTTATATAAATAATAAATAAAAATAATAACATGAGAAAAAACTAAAATGTATTATTTAACTACTCTTTTACTCCTTGAAATTAAACAAGCATTGCAAAGAGGCATGGCAAACGAGCATACATCTTATTCCAACATGAGGGCATATACAAACATACAAACCCAGATTGTACATTCAGAACAGTGGGTAAAATGAAAACAGACAGCACTGATCTTCAAAATATGATGCACCCCTCAGCATTGATGGTGCCTTCACAGATGTAGAGTTACCAATGCCATTGGCACCAATACCCCCATACCATCATAGACGCTGGATTTTAAACTTTAACAGTCGAAGTGGTCCTTTACCTTTTTGTCCTGAAGAACACAACATCCATTATTCCCAAAAACAATTTGAAAGGTAGACTTGTCTGACCACAGCACACATTTTCACTGTGCGTCAGTCCATCTCAGATAAGCTTTAGCCCAGAGAAGTTTGAGGATTTGAGGAGAGTTTGTGGATGTTTTTTATTTATGGTTATTTATTTTAACCTGTATTTCTGCATGCAGCGATGAACTGTGTTTACTGACAGAGGTTTTCTGAAAAATTCCTGAGCCAATATGGTTATATTTATTACAGAAGTATATCGGTTTTTAATGCAGTGCTGTCTGAGGAATCAAAGGTCACAGGCATTCAATACTGGTTTTTGGCATTGCCCTTTGTACATAGAGATTTCTCTGGATTCTCTGAATCTTATGATGATATTCTGCACTGTAGAGGGTGAAATGCCTAAAAGGCCTCAGACTCAGAATGAGCATATATTACAAAAAATAACGTTCAAAGGTATAAGTTCAAAAGATGAAACATTAAATACTTTGTCTTTATACTGTTTTCAGTTCAAAATTCAAAGTGAATTTACAAATCACTGCTTTATATTTGTATTTGCATTTTACCAACTGTCTAAATTTTTTTGGGAATTAGGTTTGTATATAAACATGTATGCATAACAAGATAAATATGTATAATAATATTATTCAGTGATAAATAAATGATATATGAATATGTATGTAAACTTGAAAACGGCATGTTTTATATTACTATATTACTCAAATTGCCATTTTCCTTCCCTTCCTCTTTATAATATATATGAACAGGGTAAAGGTGGGATAACAAAGTATGCAGTGAAACAGATGGACTACAGTTCTAATTGTAAAACTACAAAGTTCACCTATATAGTAAGTGGAAGTATAATAAATAAATGATAAAATTTTAATGATAATATTTAAATGATAAAATAGACAAAGAGGGCAGGTACAAGGTAGGTGTACCTAATAAAGTGCTCTGTAAGTGAGTGTATATATATATATATATATATGGTGCCATGTTAGTGTGTGTTGCGCTGGTACGAGTGGATCAGACACAGCAGTGCTGCTTGTCTGGCATGCATCTTCAAGAGACATGCAATGACTGATGGGTAAACTTTCCTTCAATTTCCTGTGAAGAGATAAACCAAGAGCCAGATTAAGGGGAGCCTGGCCACATCCTGTTTCTCCCATTACATGAAAAAACATGGCTGCAAAATGCCAGAGAGCCCCCACAAGCAAGTCCTAAATGAACTGAACGAAACAGCTAAAAGTGAAAGGTTTCTAACCACGTCTTAGGACCATCCTCTAATTTTGGAAAGTAGTGTATTTAATCAAGTGTATTTCACTTAAAAGGTAAGGAACACTGACTTGTATATTTCCTTTGTTTTACAGAAAGCAGGTTTTGGGCAGTAGGATACTAGCATTACTGCTACTGAGGGCTGATTGGTTAACATTACTGCTACTGAGGGTTGATTGGTTAACATTACCGCTGCTGAGGGTTGATTGGGTAACATTACCGCTGCTGAGGGTTGATTGGGTAACATTACCGCTACTGAGGGTTGATTGGTTAGCGTTGCTGCTACTGAGGCCCGATTGGTTAGCATTGCTGCTACTGAGGGCTGATTGGGTAACATTACCGCTGCTGAGGGCTGATTGGTTAACATTACCGCTGCTGAGGGTTGATTGGTTAGCGTTGCTGCTACTGAGGGCTGATTGGTTAACATTACCGCTGCTGAGGGTTGATTGGTTAACATTACCGCTGCTGAGGGTTGATTGGTTAGCGTTGCTGCTACTGAGGGCTGATTGGTTAACATTACCGCTGCTGAGGGTTGATTGGGTAACATTACCGCTGCTGAGGGTTGATTGGTTAACATTGCTGCTGCTGGCAAGCGGAACAGCTTATTGGCTGAATGAAGCGTTTCGCGTTCACTGACATCATGAACGTATTCAGTATTCGATTACGTCTTTACGAAGACCACTTCGCAATTTTGGTAGGCAAGCTGTTTCTCTGACTAGGCCGGAATGACCACTACAAAGATTTAAAGACATGTAGAGGCTTTAGATAAAGTCTCCAGAAAACACTACAAGGAGAAGATTGGCTAGATTGGTGAACTGGATCTGTATAACCTGAACATCCCCAGAGTTCAGATCATTCCAGTGCGTGATATTTCATTAAAAACTAATAAAGGTGGCTACCAAAGCTCTTAATCTCTTAAATAATAAACTCATACACATATATCAAACAGCTTCTTATACGCCAACTGCTCATTTGAATTATCTGTTCCACCTTAAATAGTGCTGCAGTTACACTGAGGTGCGAACCAATTCCGAAAGCTGGCGAATACGAAGCCGACATCGGTTTACCTCAATAAATGATCCTTAATCAACAAATTACCTCAAACTTTCGCTTGGAGATGTTTACTGAACATCTCATATGCAGCATAGCGAAGCTGTACTCAGCCATTGAAGCTGCTGAACGGGTCTCATTGGCTGATCTATACGGCGTCCCAAACCACACACTTCTGTACTGCACTCACTACACTAACGAGTGCACTTCCAATTGTATATGTGCTATTTTTGCATACTATTTAGTGTGGTAGAAAACCGATGAGATTAGTTTCGTCCTTGAAACCGATTCAAATACCCCGGGCTTCTTCGGTGGGGTAAACTTGTAAACTCCAAATCTAATGTTTTCAGTTGTCATATTTCGAATATTTTATACCTTAGTCATGCATTGTTTGTACAATAATCTATAAATAAAAAGACATATCTATAATTGGTCTATTTTTGTGTCTAAACGCATTCACGCCCACCCAGAGTAAGATAAAAAAAAAAAGATGAGAAAAAAGCTAACTCGAGGGTTTCCTGGAGAGAGAAAGACTGAGTGACACGTACATGGGCGGAAAACACCGCAGAGGTTGTTCCATCAGTTAAATAGATTTATAATGGAGGGATCAAGAAAGACCCAGGCCTAAGTATAGGATAACTTTCATATTTAGTCAGCCAAAATAAAGTGAGATGTATGATATATGACCAAACGCTATCATACTCAAATAACACTTCTTCAATGCTTCTTGACAGCATTATAATTATTTCCATTACCAGAAATATTACAATATGACTCTACATTACTTGGGAAGTTTATGACGCATGATGAGAAGCTAATGTAATGAGCAAATAAAGTTTATTTTAGTATTATTTTCATTGTCCATAGTTAAGATGGAAAATCATATGTCAGTGATATATTTATTTCCAAATGATTAATTTAAGACATTTGTGTTGTAATAAAGGTTTATTTGTGGGAATAAGCTTCAATGGAAATATATGACAATCAGTAGGAAACAGCCGTTGTAGGAAATTGAACTGCACAGTAGATGGCAGCATGGTGTCAAACGCTTCAAAGCGCTGAACCATTTTCCGATACGATTGGTTCAACTGTGTTGAACCCGCCCCCATTTTCCTCAGCCCTCCAATCACTGCTTAGCAACCGTTGCTAGACACTTTTCAGCATGTATGTGTATATTTGGTCAGACGTGCATGTATGACTTTTAAAATACACCTCATACCATAAGAAGCCAGGTATCTGTTTCCACCCTTCTCCAAAGCTACAAATACTTTAAAAAACAACAGCGTTATCTAAGCAGTATGTTAACTTTAAGATAAGATAATCCTTTATTAGTCCCACAGTGGGCAAATCCACAGTGCTACAGCAGCAAAGGGATAGCAAGGCACTCAAGAAAAGAAGTAACAAGAAGAGAATTAAAAAGCAAGTAATTAACCTTGTTTTACTTAACTTACTGAACAAGGTTTACAGTTTGTTATTTGTTACTATATCGACTAATATATATATATATATATATATATATATACAGTATATATACAGTATAATAATATACAATACAAAAGGTAAAAAATAAAAATATAAACTCTATCCTTCACAAAAATTTACAATATAAAGAATTTTAAATAAAAAAGCATAATTAATGAAGTCAAAATAGATAAAATAAATCAATTAAATAGTTGGTGGGTCTTCAGACTTGCAGCACCAGTATCTGGACAAATTTATTTAATTTTGCCATTATTAATGTATGGAAAGGCTGAATCCAGGGCTATTAAAATATCCAGGCGTTTACGTCAGTGGTTACGCCCTCCTGAAATGACCGCACTGCATTTTGCGATACAGTATATGATGAAGGAACCTCTGGTCCTGTACTGGAACATAGACCACAGTAGTCGTGCGTCATTCTGTAGTCCTCGTTATGCCCATATTAGGAATTCCGGGTCTAAGCCCCATTTCTCTATGGCCAGAATGAATAGGGTTTTTGAAAAATCGCCTCTATCGCACCCTGTGTTAAATAAAAATGTTCAGAACCATGTTGCTACATGCCTCACATGTAGCAATATTCATATTTCAACACTTTAACGACCTCGTAATTCGGAGGATCCAGTGGTATTCGAGAGAAGAATGTACACAGGACAAAACGTATCAGATTCTGAACATTTTTATTTAACACAGGGTGTGATAGAGGCGATTTTCCAAAAACCCTACTCATTCTGGCCATAGAGAAATTGAGCTTAGACCCGGAGTTCCTAATATGGGCATAAGAAAATGGCGCCGACTAAAAATGACGAAACGCCTACAGTGGTCTGTTTGGCCGGAGCAGTACGTCATCCGGGTATCTTTGGCGTACTGGAGAACTTCACTGTGGTCATTTACTGCATAACACTTCCCACTTTTGGGCAGAGTCAGTACACCAGCAGGTGGGCTACTTCAAACACAGCATATTATAAAGTCCTATAACTCGAGTTCATACGTACTCATATTAAAATACAGCAATATAACAGCAGGTCTGAAATGTTTTATGCTGTTCTTTGTTCAGGAAATATATGTATTTTTTAGCATTTATAAGCTATTGTTTTGCTCAAATGCTCCATATGAACCTATTCATGTTGGACTCGCTCGAGAGCGCCCTCTAGCGTCTGAACAAACCTGGAGGAGATTACATTCTCCTCACTAGAAATTATTTGATAGACCACTGTTCACTGATCCCTGTGCGGTTTGAAGTTTCTTACCAGCAGAACATTTTCACTCTCCGTGGTTTGGAATAATAGGCTCCAGACCCAGGAGGATAAGCAGATTAGAAAACGTGTGTGTGTGTGGTTTGGAATCACCATTAGCTAACATGTCTGAATACCCTGTGTAGTACACGTTACAGGGAATAAGTTACTAGGCCGGTTGGAATGCACCTCTACTAAACAAACTATAAAGTACTGATATTTACACAGAAATACCAGTAAAGAAACATAGTGGTCATTAAACTATGCAAGCATGTTTAAGATGAACTAGACAGAAAAATGTTCGGTGTTTTAATAAAGGTACTCTTTCTTAGCCTACCAGTGTGGACTGGCCTGGTGGAGTTCCCATTAGAGCAGTAATGGTGGGGCTGTCCCTCAGGCCATGTGGTAGCAGCTTAATTAGCTTAACCTTATGAAAAGGGCAGAAATGCTTGAGTGGTGTTTGTTTCGCCTTAGCTAGTTACGAGTCTGAGCTAAGCTTGTACAGTTTAATCAACATGATCCTGGATTGAAATCTTAGCAGATTGACGCGAATGCACAAACAGTAACACGGCGTTATCGTTTATGGTCACTGCTCTGGGCTTTTTTATCTGCCGCATTCCGTCGTGGTTAGAAAAAAAGAAAAAAAAAACCAAACCGTCCCTTTAGCTGCACGTGCTGGATTCAGTGATTATCACTCTCAGTCTCTCAGGGAGTCAGACACTGAAGAGAAGGAGGAAGGTAGCAAAGTCATCATCTGAAGGTAGTTAATCCAAATAGCTAATTTAGCTCGATTAGACGTCAGAAAATTGCTGCACTTAATGTGGTTTATGTGCAAAGCATATAACCTAATGCTAAGAGTATCACATATGAGTTTCGTGATGGGTTAAATCTACACGACCTTTCTGCTATGTTTGGTTTCAGGTCTTCGAGAGTGGTGATCTAACCTAAGTATCCGATACAGCTAATCTTAGCAGCTGAAAACGGCTAACTGACTCTCCATCTAAGTTAGCTGTTACAGCTAATGTTAGTAGTTAGCTGATACAGATAACTGACTCTAACTTTGTTGCTGATACAGCTAACCTAGCTAACTGACTCTCCAGCTAAGTAGCGGATACAACTAACTGACTTTTAAGCTAGCTATCTTAGCTATCTCAGTAGCGGATAAACCTGACTCTGCGGCTATTCAAGTAGGTTAGCTGATACAGCTAACTTACTGACTCTCCAGCCACCTAAGTAACGTTAGCTGATAAACCTAACTGACTCGCCAGCTGTCTAAGTAGCTGATAAGCCTAGCTAGCTACCTAGCTAACTCTCTTTCCAGCTAGCTATCTATCAGTCTAAGTAGCTAAAAAATCTAAAGACTCTGCAGCCAGCTATCTAAGTAGCTGAAATGTCACGAAAATGATTGTGTTCATGTGCAATTTTAATTCAGAAAGGCCTTTATTCTAACAAGTCTGTTTTTATTACAGTTCATTCAGAATCGGTTATTTGGTCATAGCCGCCTTATTCATCGTTTTAGCTCTGGGTGTTGGTGGTGAGGACATGGTCACAGCCGTGCAGTTTTTGATCTCGAAGCTGCTTTCGCCGCTCTGGAGGAGAGTAGAGGATGAAGATGAAGAAGATGGACTTTATTATGGTGGAGGTAAAGTTACTGGAGACGCCTGTCTCCTCATTTTTTTGTTTTATTAGGAATTGATAGTGTTTCTCAGTAAGCAGTCTGCATCTGACCACCCGCTCTGCAGCCTCCTATAAAATGAACACAAGATAATGCTGTTATCTTCAAATCTACCCTCTAATGTCTTTTATCCTCAGGATCAATTTGACCCCAGCAACTTAAATCTCCCCCCACCCTAGACCAGGTCAAGACCATCCAGCCTCCACCTGTTTACATAGCGGACACACTGGTTACATTTTTTTGAAGATTATAAGATTATTGTTATAGTTATAATTAACGTTATAGTGACCTCAATATCATCCGAAACAACGACACATTTGTGTGAAACGTGTCGATAATTCTTATGTTTTATACAGCTGAAACAGCCTGGGGTCAAACTGGCAAAAAGGACACCAGTGCATGCATAAGGAGTACAGGACATTGTAAACATATCACCATGTTAATTTTATGTTTACCTAGTCGTCCCCAGTAATTTAAAAAAGTCATTAAATAAGAAGCAAAAAAACTTAATTTATTCAGAGACGTTAAACATTGAATAGGGTCAAATCAACCCCAAAGATGATTGGAGGGAAAATATAATATTCGTTTCATAATAGACCTGTTATTTGTAATCTGAGGGAATAATCGGACATTAAAACCTATTTTTTTACTTCTTTTATGGACATTTAAACTCCTCTTTCAACTCCAAAAATCTTTATTTCAGAAATGATCTCTGCACCTACATTAAGACCTGTGTGCTTGATTGCTTGTCACATGTTAATCGACACTCACTGACCGCTTCATTAGGTCCACTTGGTAGTTCTGCTGTTACAGACTGCAGTACATCTGTTTCTCTGTGTACTTTCCTATGCAGATTTCATCTACTGTCACTATGCTAAGGACTCATGAAGGACCACCACTGGACAGGTATTATTTTATAAGGTAGTGGCTTGCAGCAAAGTGTGTGTGTGTGCTGCCCAGAGTGAATAACACACAGCAGTGTTACTGGAGTTTTTAGGCAGCTTAGTGTCACTGCTGGGCTGCAAATAGGCAAGCAAAAATTATGCAGCAACAGATGAGCAATCATCTCAAACTTTCCGTCTAAAAGGTGGACCAACCAGGTGGCTGTGTCTGAGTGAAGACAGTGTTTAAAAACATCCAGCAGCACCTACTAATGTGTCACTACCATGATCCACCACCCAAATAATACCTTCTCTGTAGTGGTCCTGACCATTGATGGATGGGGTAAAGGGGGCTTATGAATTATGTTGCAAAACAGATGAACTACAGTCTGTAAGTAAAGAGTTAAATTCCAAAATGCTGTATGTCCATTTGTAGCAGCTTTTGTAAAGAATAACAACTGATGTATAAAGGAAAACATTTTTAGTTCTCTAATGAAGTTCTGAAGCCATCTCCTAACAACGTATATTATGGAAAATGACGATTATTGAAATTGTTGCGTTGCATTTTAGAATGAAACGCTTCAGTTCTAGCACTAGAAAGTGGACCTGAGGGATTGGACCATTAGTGTAGAAACAAGGTATGTGTTCCTAATAAAGGGACCAGTGAGTAAGTTTCAGTCCTTCATCCATGCTGTGTATTGTGGTCTTACTACATGTTCAGATATTAAGGAGGTTCGTCAAGTGCGGGGTGGTGTTGTGACCCAGCTGTGTCAGGATTATGGGCTGATTGATCATTCTGTGTACTTCACGGCTGGGGAGGTACTGGGAGGAGTGCCACTGTGTGTGGGTGACCCTGTCCACGCCCTGGCTGTTCGAGATGGAGCCCATGAAGGGTGGAGGGCACTAAGAGTAAGTAATTCAAATGTATTTTCTTCCATTGTCTTAATTTACCCCATGGTGGGGCACATTGTGTCAAATATTCTTTAGTAATTTCAGGTAAAAATGTCATATATTGTTGCATAACTAGGTGTGCCTGTCGTTTGGCCTTGTCTAGGGGGCTGGTGCTCCTGCAGTTTGAGCTAATGTGTCTTTCTGTCACAACAGTGACAAAAGTCACCTGACAACCTGAATCAGTTCCAGTAGTACATTTGTCTACGAGTGGAACAAATTTGTGTTTGTTTCTGCAGGTGGAGAGGCAGATGGATACATGGGAGGGCGGTGGCAGGGTGTCACTTGACCTAGATACCAATAAGCTCAGGCCTCTGATTGGAACAGTATCATCATGTGATAAAGATGGTGGATTTATAAATCAGACAACATATTTTCCTCGGTCAGCCCTGTGTCAAGGTTAAGTATATACTTCATAAAAACTGTCCAGCTGACCACTTTATTTGCAGATTTGGTGTCTTTTAGCTTATTGCTACATATTTGATTATACTGTAAATGTAGATGAAGGTCTAAATGTGAAGGTGTGTTCCTAAAAGCAGATAATTGACAGCATTTTGGAAGAGTTGTGGTAGATTTGTTGTCGGTCACTGATGTGCGTATCTCTGTCTTAGGTTTTGAGCCTATGAAAGGAGACTGGGTGCAGGCACAGTACTTTATTAGCCCCACAGAGTGGAGCAGTCAGGCTCGGACTGTTGCCCCATTGCGATACCAACGCATGGACCAAGTCAGTCCATACACGCGCACACACAAGCTAAATCTTCCTGTCTCTGTGCCTCTCTATTCCTTTTCTATCTTTTCCGCTTTGTCGTTTTATCTCTGGAGGCTATTTGTAGAGTGATTCGTAGCTTCTACAGTGTTGTATCTCTTTGTAATTGCTTTTGAAGTGTTTGTCATGTGGTAACACACAACTGGGCTATGTTGTGTTTTACTTGGTGTTGATGCAATTTTTTTGTTATTGATGATTAATTGCCATATAAATAGTTAAGTATAGTTCCTGAAGATAATTGGAGGAATTTTGTTGCCTTTTTAGAATTGTATTCAATTAATTAATTTTTTTTTATGTACGTGTTTACTGCTGACCAAAATGTGTGCAACACATATTCTGTGTGATAATGAAAGCATGATTGTGAAAGCAAGGAACTGTGGAAAGCAACTGCAATCAGCTTAATTGCGCCAGACTATTTTGTATTAAATATGACAAGCCTTGTTGTTGTTGCTGTTGTTGTTGTTGTTGTTGTTGTTACTACAGGACATTACAGATTTGCACAGGTTGACTTGAAACAGAGACAGACATACATACCCCAAATACAGCAGAAAGCTGTCTTTATTTCTTTTATTTCTGTCCTTTATTTTCTTCTTTTTTTGTTTCAGGTGTGTGTGTCGGGTGTTTTTGGCAGTAGTGGAGTTGTGCAAGACTCTGTATTTTTTTGTCTCGACTCTTTGCTCTTGCCTGCTGGGTACCGACCCACACCAGGAGATGTAGTGAGTGTTGTGGTTGTGGAGAGCAGCCAGTCCTTCTACTGCTGGAGAGCACTCTGCATGGCCCCGATTAAACACAGGCAAGACATCCTCTCATTCAGTCTCTCACTTTCATGGATCCATCAAATTGTTTATTAGCCATTGATAAAGTTGATTTTAAAACCCCTCCTTCCTTCCCTTGCTCTTACTCTTTGTCCTTCTCTTCTGTAGCCTGAATGCATCAGTGCCTATCTTGCCAGAGGCCGAGATCCAGATCTTGCTGCAGAATAAGGGAGGGCTGGTGGTCAGTGAGGAAACCCAATTTGGATCTCTGTTAATGGGACAGGCTAAGGAGCTGCTCATCTGCATTCAGTGAGTTACTGTGACAAACATTCTGATAGGCACTGCCAATGATTCATGTAATAATAACTAAATAAGCCAGTGGTTCTGAACTCCAGTCCTGGGGATCCCCTGTGCAGCTCAGGGGTTCCCCAGGACTGGCATTCAGAACAACTAGAATAAACTGTACACATTTTAGCATGTAACATTTAATTGAAATAATACTTTCTTTTAATTTCATCAAAGTGATGTTTGTTGTGGCATATTTTGGTTATACTTATTACTAATGATTCTAACTTTATAATGGCTTTATATCTTGTTTCTCGTGCAGCAATAATGGCTCAGAGACCCACACACTGAAGTTCTGTGAATTTGCTGGCTGGGACTCTGAGGAACAGTTTGCTTTCGGCCGCATACTTTCCCCTGCCACCCCCAGCATTCCCCTCAAACCTAAAAATCATGAAGCCATCTTGCAGAAAAATCCCTTTGTACCCTCCTTCCGTGCCTCAAGCAGAGGACTTGTAGGGGGGTATGGCCTCTATCCTCTACCCGGTCCTTCCCATGGGACTGTGGAGGAAAAGGCGGAAGGCAATGAAACTGATAGTGAGATAGATAAAGATGGAGAGCTTGAAGATGATGGGGAAAAAGACTCTGAAAAAACACCAGCTCTGCTGTCAGTGGAGAGGAATCTGAAGATTGTACCAGGAGAGAAGGTGTCTGTCACTGTGAGCTGCCATGCTAAGTGAGTGATTTGATGGCAATGTTAACATGTGTTCAGTTCACAGAAAAAAAAGCAACAGTAGCGATCAGTTGTTTAATTTCATGTGTTTATTTATTGGCAGTGGCAGAAGAGTACTACTCCTGTTGTTTCCATCCTTTCTTCACTCCCTTGTCCAGCCTTGGTAATTGTCCAGGATGATTTATTACTGTCCCTCATCTCTGTAACCAGCAGAGGGAGCAAAAGAGCAAGATACGCTCAAACCTTTGCATGGCTCAAAGTTAGAGGGGTTCCATTGTTTAACGCCTCTAAAACTGCGTCAAAGAAAGTTATTACATGAAATGGCTACAAATACATTGCCTGTTGTCTGAGACATTATTTTAGTCTAGTTATGAAATATTTTGGTCTAAAACTTACTTTTTGGAATCCATTCATAGCAGAGCGGTGCAAGCAAGGCGTTGTGTGGCAAAATAGTACCCAAACACATTTCTTCTAAATTTAGCATTATTCTTCAGTTATCTACATTGCATATAAAAACTCAGACATGTGTAGGGTCACTGGTGGTTTTGTAAATGAGTCTGTAATTTTCTCTACAATGTACATTTCTACACCAACCCACTCTTAATGACTGTGTACATCTCAGTGATTGAATTATGTAGAATTTTTTTAATGGGTGGAATTCGCCTTTAAATCATTGTATATGCCTACATGTAGGATAATACAGTGCAGTTTTGTTTTGTGATGTAATTCAGTTCAATTTAATTTCTGTGCCTCTCTTGACAGTTTACAGGGATTGCATCAGAAACTAGATTTAAAAATTGAGTGATGGAAGAATGTGAACGTTCAGGCTGAGACATTAGTTTGTGACTACAGTCAGGGTAGTAGAGAGAACTTGAGGTGTATTTGTTAATGTTAAAAATGGACATGGCTATTCTTGAATCAGTTCCTGTGTCTGCTTGGAAACCCAGCTGTTGTGGCAATACAGGGTGAAATAAGATCTAGCACGAGATCAGAAAAAGCAAAATAGAGATAAGAAGTTAAGCATCAGGGAACACTGAAGTCTTATGAGCAGGAAATTAATGTGTCAGCAAAACGATAAATACTATGAATGCAGAACATCCTGACTCACAACACTGGCTGTTAGACAAGTGTTGCTTTAGCAGTTGTTGTATAGTTGACCATAGTATTGGCAGTGAAAACAAAAAAACTTCAAATCCACGTAGATCCTTCACTTATGAATCTAGAAGGACTCTCTTTAGTGCATGTATGTCATCTCTGTAGGAACCTTGGTCGCTGTGCGGAGCTGCTGTTGCTACACTTCTCGTCCTTCACCATCGGGCGGCGCCTGGAAGTGTCTGTAAGCAGCACTGAGGAGAGCCTACTGAAACCCAGTGCCCCCTACTGCCCAGCAATGCCAGTAACTCAACCTCAAAAACATGCTCAGGTGATCACAGTCATGGCTCCTGCACCTCCAATCAGGTGAGTCTCCTGCATTAGGACCTACTAATATCCATCTGTGTGCCCACATTACTGGCACAGTGCTGATATTTCTCATTTGCATTCCTGAATGTTAATCAGTTTGTCTGACTATGGTGTGTGATTACTTACTCCATCGTCAAGGCAGCAAATTAAGTCATAACTTCTGGCTGAGCTTTTGTCCTTGTGGTGTATGTGAGAGACTGTACTGGTGGGATGTTTTTGGGCAGGCTGGCGAGACGACGTCTGCCCAACTTCCTGGGGAACTACCCGGTGCCACAGGCTCTAAGGGAATGTGTGGAGGCCCAGAATGATGTGCTTGTGGTTCAGCCTGCTCTTGGAGAGGTGAGGGATCACTTACTGATGCTGTTTTACGCCTGGTCGTTTTATGTGTCTTGGGTAAGACGATTATATCCAGGTAGGGATTAGCCACATAAAAATGCAGATGTAAAGCAAGATGTAAATACATTTATCTCTCCAAGCCACATTCAACAAAAAACCCGCCCAATACAACATTCAACCTTGTGGTCTTCACATGCATACATAGTTGTGGACTTCTGGGCTGCAAATGCGCCAGTTGTGGCTGGGCTTTTTTATGTGTAGTTTACAGGATGCTGATAGTAAACTTCAACATTCGTCTGTTTTAAAGATCTACAGTGCAAAATCTGCTACAGTCCTTTAACTTTAATCGGTCTGTCTTGCTGTCCCTCTTGCTTCATCTATCTCCCTCTTTAGCCACTGTGTTTGTCCTCCATGATTACTCGTTTCTCAGCCTTGCTGTGGCTGGAGGAGCTGCAGGCAGAGAAAGAGCTCAAAGAGTTCATTATTAATGGTGCCTTGCTCAGGAAGGGAGCAGTGTACCTGCACCTAGAGGTGCCTGGGCTCAGCGAGGGAAGGCCGAACCTCTTCATAGGTGAGCAACTTCACAGTCAGTATCTGTAATCATATTGCATAACTATATGTTAAACTCGCAAAATGTTAAATTCTTTGTTTCTGGTCATTTACAGGAGACAGAGTTGTTCTGAAGAAGCCATGCAGTGGAGGGTGTGTTGTTGAGTATATCGGCTATGTCACTGAGGTGATCTGTTTTACTTCATAGGCTTCAGTTGAGTATGTTGAAATAATGAAGTAGTGTTTAAAGTTTTGCTTGTAATTTAGCATTGTAATAGCACTGTATAATGCTGCCTGCACCTGTAGATCAGCGAGGAGGATGTAAGTTTGCGAGTAAACTCTGAGTTTCAGAAGAGCTACCTGGGGGAGCCCCTGGACGTGGAGTTTACATTTAACAGGTGCATCACCTTTACTAAACACCTGGGGGAGCTGTTTTTGTGAATGATCTCAGAAAATGAGTATTGCACCTGGACTGGTTTGGCCTTTCTGATATGTAAAGTGCACCTATAAGAGAAAAAGAAACTTGAAATGTTTATGAACAAATGGGCATTAATATAAGCGGGTATGGGTTTTCCTGACTGGTGAGGAGTAACAGATTAGCCAGGAGAAAATAACTTGAATGACAAAGTTGCCTTGAGATTCATTAAAAACAAGGAGCAAAAGCATAATTTTCAGAATGGTTTCTGCCTCTTAAAATCAGGGTGCCCATAAGGAGGTGCCACTGCGCTCTGGAACAGACCAAGCACTTTGGAGAGAATGGTGAGCAGGGGCTAGGGTGCTGTTATCACTCCTGTTTTGGCCTTACTTGCATATAGCATCTAGACTCCTCTTCCCAAAATGTCTATCAGTAAAGTGCTGTTCATCTCATTTTGCTGTGCTAGTGCTTTTCCCCAGAGTGTTGCAGCTGCAAAGTCCCATATGGACTGGAGAATGGGAACCTGAACAGCCGCAAGTAAAGAATGAAGGTGAATCTCGCCGTCAAGACGAAGAGGTGTGTGTGTGTGTCATACAGATGTTGATTGTAGTAGCAAGGCCATAACTCAAATGTATTGACTGCAGTTATCCAGCAAGCACTGAATTGACCATTTAACAATCACCTTCCGTTAAGCAGTATGTTAGTTACATGCCCGGGGGGGTATTTCACAAAGAAGGATTTCTCAGTTGGCCTGGTTAATTTAGGCCACAAAAATGTCTAATAGGACAAGAGCTTAGGAACAATCCTTAGGGACAATACTCAACTTTTGGCTTAAGTTATCCAGCTTACTGGTGAAATCCTGCTTTCTGAAATAACTGCCTGACTTGAAGTATTTTAGTAGGCCTTTTTTTGTTGTGCTGTGATTAAGTTGAATGTAATTATAACGCATGCCTTTAAGGGAGGTGTTAAATATGACTGTAAATGTTGTTGTTAGGGTACAGAAACAGCATGTGGGGGTGGGCAAAAGCTGTCCTCTCTGACTATGGACATGGTGTCTGTGGCCACACAAACAAAAACAGGTAGGACTTTAAGTGGGTGGTTTATTGAAGGGATATAGATTATCTCCAGTAAACAGATTTGAATATTTTTAATCCTAATGTTTTGTACACCTAGGAATAATAGTTTTTGGCTTTTATTTCTGAGTTTTGTTCCTTGAGAAGGATGTAGTGATATGAGAAGGACTTGTTTATGCCCATATCCAATGTATCTTACCAGACATGGCAGTGACCTGTGGTACAGGAGTTGGAACTGTGTTTTTCTATTATTGTAGAACAGAGTGAAAGGTGACTCTTGTAATATCACTTTGTACTTCAAGAGGCGACAGTGAGTCATTGTAACATCAAGTCTGCCATCAGTCCAACATGAGAGGATGAAGTAGCATGCCCACTCCTGGGCTGCGTTCAACACTTTGACAGTATATATAAAGTGTGCACTGCCTTTTTATTTACACGTCGCTGCTGATTTGGTAACACGTCTGATGCACTCATCAAACATGGCATAAATAGAAGCAAAGCAAGTGTTAACACTGCCATTGGTTTCCACCGTTGGTGAAAGCTCTTGGTGAGTAAAGAGATGTTTGAGGCTAAACTTGCAGTGTTTTTTTTAGACTGGTAAGTAAACAGGGGTAGGAGTGCAGAGGGAGGAGGAGGAACTATGCGGAGTATAAGTTCGACAAGTCATCCTGCATGTTGCTCCTTTAAACCTTTTGTGTGAAATCTATGAAAAACAACTATACATAATTTCTCTGATATACCCCAAAACGGAAAAGACCACACATTAAATTTTAAAAGTAAAAAAAGGATTATAACATTTTAAGAAGAGAAATATTTTTCAGGATTATAGGAGCATGAAAAAATTCAACATGCTATTGCATTCACTTACACACAACCTCTCTCACAAAGGCTTAACTAAGGCAGAAGCTTAAAATCAGCAGTTTAAAACTGCTGAGAGAGAGAAAAATAGTGGAGGGGTAAAAGTACCTTCAGGTGTCTTCCCCATATGACGAAGACTTAGTAAAGCAGTTATATCTTTATGCAAATTGCATTATAAAATTGAAAATGTACATATACAATTGCTCAATCATTTTAAATCGAAACTGCTGTAATGCAGACTTGAATGGGCTCACAAACAAAACTAGTGTCATTGTAAGGTTCAGTCAACAAAGATAATGTATCTCGTGCACGTCTTAATGTCAGTTAGGCTCAAGACCTTAAAGGTTCCTGAACAGTCACATTTCACTCTACTGTTCTACAATAACAGAAAAACCCAGTTCCAACTCTCGCCACCACCATGTGTGGTAGGATAGAATGAAGATGGTCATAAACAGGTTCTTGTCTTACATCACAGTGTCCTCCTCAAGGAACAAAACTCAGGCATTAAAGCCCAAAACTATTATTCCTATGTGCAAAATAATCTATATTAAATATACATGTACATGAAACTCTTTTTTGAAAAAAAAAAATTAGCAGTAAAATCTGATTTCTAGTGGTATTGGCTCTTTCAAAGCTTATTGTAAAGTACTTTTTGTAACACTGCTACATCATCTGAAATAACTGGACTTTGTTTTTGACAGATTTGCATATGACTGCTAAGCCAATCCCAAACTCAGGCCAGTTCTTTAACTGTAACCTTAACCCCGCCCAGAAGGAGGCAGTCAAGTGTATTCTCAGTGGAGACTGTCGCCCAACCCCATATGTGCTGTTTGGTCCTCCAGGCACAGGCAAAACAGTCACACTCATTGAGGCTATACTGCAGGTACGGACCACCTTGTCTAAAGACCCTGCTTTAAGGAGTCAGAACATCACTGAAATTTAAATCCCGTAGCTTTATTAACCCAGAGCACATGCATGTGCAGGTGTACCACCGTGTGTCAGGGAGTCGTCTTCTGGTGTGCACTCCATCCAACAGTGCTGCAGACCTCATCTGCATCCGTCTGCACGAGAGTGGCTACCTTCATGCTGCCAGTCTAGCACGTGTCAATGCCACCTGCAGACAGGAGGAGGTATTGCAGACTTTACACGAGTATTTATTTATAAAAGTTATGGGAAGGACTGGTTAATTTCAGACTTTGAGAGTCATATTGTTTGGCTTATATGGACTTCTAAATATCCTAGTGAGTTACTTATGTTTAAGATTAACTGATGTGCTTGATTATACTGGTCGTTTAAGGAGCGCTCTGTGTGGTTGGTGTCTTTGCAGTCTATCCCGGATGTTTTGCGGCAGTACTCTCGAGCCGGAGAGGACGTACGTCACGCCTCTTTTCATCGTGTTGTGGTCAGCACTTGCTCCAGTGCTGGCATGTTTTACCAGATCGGTCTGCGGTGAGAGCTACAGCAAAGAGACGCAGTGCTTTGTTTATCTTCATGCTGGCCTACTGATCATACCTGTTAACAAAGACAACGGTGCTTAAATAGAGTTGCTCCCAATACTAGTCCTGGAGCCCTTGTCCTGCATCTTTTGATCTAACACAGTTGGACCTTTCTTCACAAAGCTTCTCAGATTAGAAGTGCTGATCTAGGATCTGTTCAGTCAACCAACCTTTATTTAAACCCTGAGTACATTGAGGTGACCCTCATTTAGTGTAGCCCAGCATTATACAAAAGAGGGATTGAAATGAGTAAATATAAATTTGTGATAGTAAAATGAGACCAAAAATTAGTATTAATACAAAAGCATTAACTCAAATATTTAACATTTTAAATTAAACTATTAAGCAGATTAGTAATAAAATTTAATAAAGAAAGAACTTGGTGGGGTAAGAACAAAAAAGGTAAAATCGAAAGCTGTAATAAAACAATAGTAATGAGAATTTTGTTTCTTGTTAATTTCAATTAGGAAAGTAAAAATAAATGAGAGGAATCTGATCCTAAATCGGCACTCCTACTTTTAAGAAGCTTTGTGAATATGAGCCCTGATGCACCTAATTCCTTCCTGGGTTAAAGTGGGTGTGTAGAGCAGTAGGGTAGCACTAGAATGTGTACGGCAGGGCTGCTTCAGGACTAAGGGTCTGTCTCATAAAGCATGGATTTCTGATAAAGTTTCAGCATCACAGGACAAGCACAGTTGCAGTTAACTTGTTTTGTGACTGGTTTATGACTTTCTCTGTTAACCCAGTTTACATACTCGAGCTGTGATTAGTGCTCCTGTGTGTGCACATGAAAGTATGACGTTTGTAACACATGAGGAGACAAGTCAATTTTTTTTTTATATATATTTTTTATATCTCTTTAGTATCACATTTCCTACGCTAGAAAGCCATATTTTCACATGGTTGATGCCACACAAACAGGGGAAAAGTGACCCAAAACAGACCAAAGGGGCCGACCTCCATCAGAAGTTGTTCTAAAGCTGTTTATGATCCAAAATCCCAAAGTTAACAGACCCTGGAGCAGGTTAGGCATGCAGCATAATTTGGTGAGGTGATGTATCTCAGTGAAAAGTTATCCACCATCATAACACAGAAAATAAACTAAGCTTAACGATAGCTGGCTAAGCAAGAAATCCTGCTTTCTGACACAGACTGCAGGTCTAGGCATTACCTCTGTAGTCATTCTTTTGGTGGTTGTGCATTTTAATAAACTTAGTGTAAGCTATTGTGGTTTGCTAGACCTCCCACAAAAGCATGCCATCAGTTTGTGCTTTTCTGGAATCCTTTTCTTTTCAGTGTTGGCCATTTCACCCATGTATTCCTGGATGAAGCTGGTCAAGCTACTGAGCCTGAATCTCTGATTCCCCTAGGCCTGCTGTCTGAGAAGACAGGCCAGGTTAGGCAGTATATTATGTAACATAACCTGCCTTATTCAGAAATCTCTAAGTGGTAATACAAATTTGTTCAACTTTGTACCCTAACTTTCAGAATTAGCTGTGGAAGATATGCAGTAACATTAGTTGTGTTCTTGTTTTGTCTATTGCAAGTTTACATTTACACTGCAGTGTCTTTTAATGTGAGATGAGTTCTACCCTTTCTCTCTCTCTCCCCTAATAAAAGGTAGTCTTGGCTGGAGACCCTAAGCAACTGGGTCCGATAGTGAAGTCTAAATTAGCTGAAGCGTTTGGACTAGGAGTGTCTCTGCTGGAGAGACTAATGTCTACCCCACTCTATTCTTGCGGTGACGAGGGCTACAACCCATTATTGGTGAAGAAACTAATTAACTAATTAACTCATTGTTGCTAGTGACCTTAGTAGCCACTGCTAGATATTCATGTTAGAAAGGGTTGCATTACAAGGGTGTTTTATAGGTGCAAGAGTTTATCTACAACTTAGAGTAAAGCTATTGATCTCTAGTAGTGTAGGTAGTACTTTTGTTTCTAATTTTCTTCTGTATGCTACGGTACTTTATGTTCCTCAGGTGACTAAGTTGGTGTACAACTACCGTTCCCATGAGGTCTTGCTGTCTCTGCCGTCTCGGCTCTTTTACGGAGGGGAGTTGTGTGTACGCTCACAGAGAGCTGTGGTGGACTCTCTGTGCCATTGGAGCCGCCTTCCCACCAAGGGCTTTCCTCTCATGTTCCATGGAGTCAGGGTGGAGCTCTCTTTCTAGATAATTTTGCCTGCCTGGGATAATGTTTTCACTAATAATTTGATGTAATAGATCAGTGGTATAGTAGAAATGGTGTGGGAGAGTGATTAATGGGCCACCTTTGATTTCATCTTTTTCGTCAAGTATCGTTTACTAATTGTTTAGCTTACCTTAATAAAAAAATTTTTTGTTGCTATTCTTGAATCTTCTAAATTTTGGATGAAAGAATAATTCTTTTTCCTTTGACTTTTCAGTCATGCAGATCCTTTTGTTCTATATGTTGATCCCCCTCCTCTGCCTGTTGCTCTCTGTCTCCCCCTGCAGGGTACAGAGATGAGGGAAGGCAATAATCCTTCCTGGTTTAACCCTGGAGAAGCAGTGCAGGTCATGCTTTACTGCTGCCAGCTGGCAAAAAGACTCTACAATCCCATACCAGCTACTGACATTGGCATCATTGCCCCTTACAAAAAACAGGTGTCTTTCCCTCGCCTCTTACTCATCTATGCATTTATCAATGCCAGTGCAGTGCAAACACCTTATTGACATTTTACTTTTGCTCACTTATTCACATTCGTAGGTAGAGAAGATCAGAGTGCTGTTGCAAAGGGTAGGGCTTGCTGACATTAAGGTGGGCTCAGTCGAGGAGTTCCAAGGACAGGAGTTTCTTGTGATCATCTTGTCCACGGTATTGTGCTGTTGCATTCACTCTGACCTGCTGTCGACTGATCGTTTGAACAGTATAGATTTTCATTTGCTTAAGACTGTAAGTTGTGGATGAGAGCCAAAAGAAAAGTTTGATTCTGGGTGGCGCTATGCTTCATACAGCTTCAGAGAAGCTTCAGATGCTTTAGAACAGGGCTTCACAACCTTTTCAGCTTAACCCCTTTACCACATATTTAGCTTCCAAGTGTATTTTTAAGAAAGTTGGCTCAAAGTTTAGTGTCGCACACTTGAGACGATATTTTAACATGAGTGATTTAGCGAGCTAACTCTTAACTGTAATCTGCATTAAACATGAGATCCATTCAGTATTACTGATACTGTACTGTATTGATACAGGGTTACTGATATTATTGAGACAGTAGCCTAGTGGTCTGTGAGGTGAGCCAGAAGTCGGGGGGGGGTTGCTGTTTCAAATACCAGGACTAACTGGATATTCCGGACAGGGTGTAGTTCGGCAGCAAAATGACAAATTTCCCTTGCAGCATCAATAAATTATGTTCAGTGTTACCTTCTGCCACTTTTTGTATTTATGAGGTTACAAACTTTTACTTTTTTCCTAGTTTTTTCATTTTTTTTTTTTTTAACTAAAATATATATTTCTAAAATGTAACCCAATTTCACAGTGACATGTCCATTACAGTCTCACAAACCCCCTACAATGCAGCCTGGTTGGGAAACTCTACTCGAGAAAAAACAAAATTTTTGAACCCTTAGGTACGATCGAATGAGGATCTTCCAAGTGATGATCTGCAGAGTGCTCTGGGATTTCTCTCCAACCCTAAACGCTTCAATGTGGCTATCACTCGGCCCAAAGCTCTTCTCATCCTCATCGGCAACCCACATGTCCTGATTAAGGTAGGCTTGCTTTGTGTCCATCGGGATTTTTAAAAGTTCAGAACAGGGACTTTAAGTAGTGGCAACATGCCATCTAGCATACTGCTTCTGTAATCCTATGTCGCTTAATCTGTTACCGATATTTTGAGTGTAGATATTTCTGTTCATTACTAGTGCATATAATGCCACCATTTATAGTTTAGCCTAGTGAGAGTGTGTTTGTGTTATAGGATCCTTGTTTCCATGCACTGCTGCAGTACACATATGAGAATGGGGCTTTCCTTGGCTGTGACCCTCCTGTCTCCCTCAGAGTTTCCCATAGGTTAGTCACTCATGTTCTGAAGTCACAAATAAATTTGCACATTCATAGAGGGCCTCGGACAACATGTGCAATCTGTGTCAGATTTACATTTTAATCTAGAGTTTAAGGCCCTAAACAGAGCTTTTAGTATATAATATGACTACTGCATTTGTCCTTTTTCCCACAGAACTGCCTCTAAAAAGGAAGAATAGAGACGTGAGAAGAAATCTGGATGTATCGATATGTTGTAATGATTGTGAAGTGTTCCAAATAAAAATCATTAATGCCTCCTGTGTCAGCTTTTTGACCATCTTTACATATATGTAATGTACTCTGTTCAAGTAAATAGATAAAGCAATGTGGCTTGGTGAAAACTGGAAGGTGGCGCTGCATCCAAATTCTGCTACAGATTCTGTGTAATAAGGCCTGATATTTTTCTATGTGGAGAAAAAATGACTTTGTGAAACATTGATTTGTGTTTGTTACTTTCTTCGTACTTTGTCTACTTCTATCACTGTTCTGTTTTCATATTTTAAAAATTAAATCTATTTCTGTGTTCACACAAAAGTCTGCCTCTCAGTCTCCTGGTTGAGATCAGTGAGCAGTCAGAGAGTCTCTGGCTTGCAGACAGTCCTGTGTCTGAATGTCTCGGCATGGCAGCGTCTCCATGAGTGAGTCTGGATGTGACAATTGAGTGCCAATAACTAGAGGCGCACCTCTGCCCATTATACCTGTAGGCTTTTTTTTTCCTGCCTTAGACGATAGAATTTGTTTACCCCAGTCACAGATCTGTTTGAAACATGAATGAGTAGGTGGAGGGCTTCAATAGGGTAACATTTTATTTTATAGAGTAGGGTAACTTTTAAAGTATGGTCCAGTTTTAGTATAGGCATAATTTTGGGTCAAGAGGCAGGGCCACAGTCTTACAATGAAGCAAATCAGCTGAATGAAATCTAGGAAACAACCTCCTTTTTTGTTGCTTTTGTATATTGCAGTGGAGACTGCACTGAGAGACAGTGTATGTTTAATGTATAAGTGTGGTTACAGAGCCAGAGAGGTTCTAATGAGTGAAATGGAGACTGCTTTTATCAGAGCGGGTCTGGGTGCGTGGCTGCTCTTTGATGTATGACTTGGGTGCCAGTGAGCTGTCTTAAACCACAGTTTGACACTCAGGTGTGTCTGTGTGTTACCATTTATGGCTTTACTGTGTCCCTGTACCTTGACTGGGATCTTTTCAGCCTTCACAAGTCAGCTTTTGGGGTCAAATGCAGCTGGGTCTGTGTTCACGTAGCGTCTCAGAGACAGAGTACTGATCTGGCATCTGTTTGTCAGTAAAGTCACAGTGAGAGGAATCTGGTCCTTCATCAGTGCTTTTACTCTGGGAAGCTTTGTGAAAATGGGCCCTGATATTCACACTAGAATCTGTCTGTTCTGAAATCTTCAGTCTGAACACACCAACGTGTGTGTGATCTTTTTTTCTTTATGCACAACTCCAGATACCTGGTTAATGTGCCAAGTTAGTAGGAAACATTTCAAGATGATAAACTAACACACTAAAGCTTGTTTGTCAACAAGTCGCCTTTGTGTTGCTTAAATTTGTCCACCATAAATTTGCATTTGGCTTGTCCTTTTATGTATGTACAGATCATCTTACATAACACAAACATGCATAGAAAACATACAAAACAATCATCAGTGTGATTGAGCAGCAACATTTCAATGAGAAGGACAATTAAAAACAACCATAAAAACTACTTACAGTTGTTTATTTAAATAGACTATTACAAAAAACGTTTTACAGATGTTCCTGTTGACTTTGGTAGTATTGGTAGAAATGGATTTTAAGATCAGTATAGACAGCTAATGCATAACAGGGAAGAGATTTCAGTCTAAATACTGATAAAAGGTTCTGAATTTCAGTCATCTACGGAGTTTCGAATGAAAAATACATTAAAATCATAAGTTCTATCTGGACCTACTCAGTCGAAGTGTCCCCACTTTGAAAATGTGAGTGTGCTTTGATAGACAGATGCTTGTATGGGTCCCATTAGTGGTCTAGAGGCAGGCCATACATTAACAACACAAACATAATACCTAAAGAGGGGCAGGAGGGCCATTAGATAGAAAAACATGTTTCTGGGGGGTATTCGAATGGGGGTGGTTAGCTTAAACACATGGGCTCTATTGTTCTCCAAAATGGGCCTGTGTCTCTAATTGTCCAGTTAGGTCCCCTTGCTAATTGCCGTCTACACAAGGCTGAGCCAGGGCAGTAAAGGGGCCATCGAGGCTGGGGCCGGCGTGACAGGACTGGAGACTGGAGGCTGGAGGCTGAGGGACTGTGAGACATGGCACATGGCAGCATGGCTAAGCTTTCGGGCCTTATGTCCGCAATTTGGCCCAATACAGTTCGAATGGCACCACCAAGATAATTCGAAACAGTTTCATACTGTCTACTTCTCCTCATTGCCTCGAGTAAGCTCTTTTGTTTCCATCCTTAATAGTCGTCTGGTTGAGTCTGGCCTCCAATCTCAAAACTGGGACCATAGAGGTAGTTATCAAATAGATGGCAGCAATTGAAGCTAGAGGCCTTGTGTAATGGAAAGCTTAATATAAATCTAATTATGAATTAGGAGACAGAGTTATGTACAAGCCATGGAGTGGGAGACAAAGCTTTGTCAGGTGACCAGTAGTACTCATAAGGTTGATGATGGAAATGTGAGAGTCCACTACTGAAGACACCTGTTGTGTAAACAGCTCCTGAAACCTTTCACTTAACAGACCAAGCTAGTGTGGGCTTGCTATTGATTACCCACAATGAATGCTGACTTTTGCTCAACAATTTTGAATGATGGGAAATGTAGTTATTAGTACATTTGCACAAAGAAGATGTACAAATGATTTATTTTAAACTTAAAGTTACTTTATTTTAAAGTAAACTGGCTGCCTTAATTTTTACATTTTATTGATCTATTAACATACTATTACAAAATGAATGGACTCAAAAAAAAATAGAGGCAGCCAGGTAACATACTGCTTCATAATTTTATATTTTTTACAGTATGTTTAAATGCCCAGTATGACGCATAAGCAAGTTGTACATATAGAAACACTAATTTGAAGCAGTTTAGGGACAAAAAAGACCAGCAATACTGCAGCTAAAGAAAAAAATGCTTATGTATCAGCTAATGTGGGATAATCCATTGCTCTGAACAATGAAGGCCAAGTCTGTCATGTAGACAGTAGGCTAATTTGTAAGGATTAGCGAGGGCATGGTAGCTAAGTGGCGTAGCATTTAGCATTTGAATATGAATGGCTCCCCATTTTGGCAGATCAAAGGTGGGCTAGTGGTCAGGTAGACTGCAGACAAGGCTGCTGTAACGGGAGACAGGCTGCATGGCGAAGTCTCTTGGGTCAGGGAAGCTCAAATTAACATGGGGAGACAGAGGACCTGTCATCAGTTAGGAGACTGCCTGTCTGTCCACTAGCCCCCTCCCTACAAGACTCACAATGCTGCTACTTTGCACCTGAGATATGACACCTTTCCATTTAAACACTGGAAAGTAATGAAATAATAATATAAAATAAAGATATGTAGTGAAAGGTGGCTAAGATTTTGCTGATTTTAATGATGGTATGAAAATATCTCATTTACCTTTCCAGAGGTCATTTGTTTAGTGGCTATTTCAGTGTGTCTAGTTAAGCTTCTGTGCTCATGTGGTCACCACTGAGTGTTCACACATCATACTATACCATATGCACTATATTCCCCACAAAATAGATTTATTTCATAAACCGTTTCTTTTTTTTGGAAGTTTGCATGAAGTGTACTATTTTTTTTTCACAAACATTTTTTTAACATAATTAAAAAATGCCACATTGTGTACACATTTCATGATGAATGGATATAAATAGTCCAAAAGTTACCATATTGGAAATCCAAGGCTTTGTTGCAATTTGTGACAATATATAATTTAAAATGTATTATTTGTATATGGCATATATATGTATTATATATCATTCATCTAACAGCCAATTAACGATTTCTCTGTTCTAATTTTATGTACTGTGTCCTAATCGCTCTGAGTTTTGTATGCCAGTTCATTGCTTCTCATTTTTCTCTTGTTTTAATCAGATGTATTTAAAACAGTGATGTTGTGTGCTTTTAGTTTTAACAAGGGCCAGTTTTAACAAGAGCCATATACCAAGAACAAACTGAACGTACAGACATCTGCAGACGGTGCGCATCATTTAATGGGCTCAAGCATTCTCAGCCTTTGATTGTTTATTTAATGCCCCCCCCTCCCTCTCTGTCCCCCTGCGTCTGCGTGTAGTTATCTCCTGCTTGACGCGTCGTCTGCGCCTCTTTGATAGGTCGTTGATAACAGCCCTGCCTGGCGGGTCCTGCCTGTATATAAACCACCACATCCCACTCACTCACAACCACTCCAGCAGCATTACCCTCAAGACTTGGACCCTCTCTCTCACAGGATCATCATTTTCTCTGGAACTATGGCTCTCTTCTCCATCCTGCTTGCCTTGACCCTCGTATCTCAGACTGGGGCCTTTGACCTGGGCCAGTCCACCCGCTGCGTGCCCATACCTCATCAGCTGAGTGTGTGCCATGACGTGGGCTACTCAGAGATGCGGCTGCCCAACCTGTTGGGCCATAGCAGTCTGGAAGGCGAGGTGGTCCCCCGCTCAGAGGACTGGCGCTCTCTGCTACAGACTGGCTGCCACCCTCAGGCCCAGACCTTCCTCTGCTCTCTCATTGCTCCTGTCTGCCTGGACACGTAAGTGTTTTGTAGAAGAATATATCTCTGTGCTGTTTCTTTAGCTGTTGTCAGAAAGTTATCTCTATCTGCCTCTGTTTAAACACCTAAACTACAAACTCATTATTCATTTGTTAATCTTAAGGCTTATTGTTCAGTAAGTACTGTGACACGTCTGGTATGTATGTGGTGTTCTCTCTCACTACAGTTTCTCACTGGCTAGTATGTAACCATGCTCACTTTTCATCTCCTGTGCAGGTTTATCCAGCCGTGTCGTAGCCTCTGTGTGGCCGTGAGGGACAGCTGTGCTCCTGTTCTGGCCTGTCATGGCCACTCATGGCCTGAAGCTCTGGATTGCAATCGCTTCCCTGCTCAGGAGGACATGTGTCTGACCCCACTGCCCAAACACATCGGCAGCTTCCCTAAAGGTGAGTGTTCTACCACTCTCACACACAAATTCATCACACTGGTGTAAAAGAAGCAAAATTGTGAAGCTACTCAGAGCTACCACGCAATAGTGCATAACTGTGAATCATTCTAAATGGTTTTGAACTGAATTACTGGAATCTTACCTTCATCTTTGCTTTTGCAGATTTTCCACAGCCAGCCTGTCAGTCCTGCCCTGCAGTAGAGGAGATGCCCTCTCTCAAAACAGTGATGGACGCTCTCTGTCTCAATGACTTTGGTAAGAAGCAGATATTAAAACATTTTCTGTTACACTTTACTGAAGGCCAGCATTTGTAAGGCTGCATGACACCTACTGACATAAAACTACATAAACATGTATAAAGGCTTATTTCATCAAGAATCTGTTGTCATTAAGCCTGCTTTAGTCAGTTTCAGCCTAGAAAGTATTATGACCACTGATGCTAGTTGGAATAAGCTTTTTTAAAATGTTTATATAGGCCTGTGTTGTCCTGAGAGGCTTCTGCAGGTGTCATGAACACTTATGATCACTGCGATACATCAAAGTGTGATTTAATTTTATTTAGTGACATTTTATTAATGAACCGGATTTGAAAAATTGCTAGTAAACTGATTATAGTGCTTTTTACCTTGTAGTTATTTATTTGTTTCTTTGTTTGTATTTACACAAACAAAGAATGTTCCATAAGCCATATTTTATGATTTATGTTTTTCATTTGTGTTAAATTCAGTAAGTAAGTAGCCATTGTGCATTAAAATGTGTAGAAGAGTGAGCTCTGTAAGGATGTGTAACTTATATACACTTAGAAAATCAACAAAACATGTCATTTGACCAGGGCGCCCAAACTTTTGCATTCAACTGTACAACAGAGTCATGTGTAATATCTCTCTGTGGCTCATTGCTGCTTCCACTCACTGTCTCTCTTTCCTCCTTTCTGTCCTCTTGCAGCAGTGAAAGCTAAGTTGTTCCGACGCCGCCTGCCCTCTGCTGACCCTGAGCTGGAGGTGGAAGGAAAGGTGGAGTTCATTGAGCGCGGGCCTCTGCTGCCCTACAGTGCCGCTCAGCTACTGCAGCAGTGGCTGCTGCTCAACCTCCGCTGTGCGCACGCAATGGTGCGGCCCGGGCGCGCTCAGCTCTACCTGCTCACAGGCCGAGCGCGTGCCGACGGAACTGTGTCCATCACACATCTGTTCCCCTGGCTCAAGAAGGACGTGCACATCGCCACAGCAGCGCGCAAGTGGAAGCAGCACAAGTGCTGAGCTTTAGAAGACTTATCTTTCTTTCCCAGCTTGGCCAATTAAGAACTTTTACAACAGCCTGGACCTGACTCAAGGCATCTGCTCGTTACCTAAGACTTCATGAGGTCCAATAGGAAAATGCTAAAATGTGCAGCAGGATCAGGACTGGTGACCCCTGGCCTACATGACATATATGTAAAGCAAGAGTTGATATATGTATGTGCCGTTTGCAGTAGGAGTTGAAGGTGAGGGCCGTGTTGGAGCTGGCTCCTCCTGTTCGGGCTGACCTCCTCTGCTGTGGTGGAGCCAGTGTGTCTCACACGCAGCTTTCTGAGCACATAAACCTTGAATGCACTCTGAATTTTGTACATAATGAGACTAGAGTAAAATGATTTGTAAAGATAGTATTTTCTATTCAAATGTTGCTGTATTTATGTGTGTCTTTTGAGTGTCTGTGAACTGGAGGTAATAAATGTGGTCTTAAACTGCAAGTTCATGTTTGTGTGTTTTTCTTGGTCTATCTTTTGTGGTGAGGAGACCAAAAAAGCTTGGAATTGGGGATTTAGCTTCAGAAGGCATTCCTTGTCTACTCTGAAGCTTGTAACAGCCATATACACGTACATTTGACCTGCTGTGTAGTATTTTTACAGTGATTCTTTTAGTAAAGGGCCTTGACGCAGAGCTGCTGCCACTGTTATTTATTCCTAACTGCTGACTGAAACCAGCTTAGACTTTTCACAGTCACAGATGCATCTAGGTCTTCCAGAAGGCCTAAAGTGATGTTGTTTTCTCACTAAATTGGTTCCACTTATTCTAAATCAAAATATGATTAGTTGATCCCACTGTCAGTTCCTAAATACAGTAGTTAATCTGTCATATTAGGCCTTCAGTTCAGCTCCTGAAGTCCTATCTAGTGGGAAAGCTAGCTTAGCTATATCTACCTAGATACTACAGGAAAAAAACCCTTTGTTTCCAACCAAAACATATGAAGTAGGAATACTGCTGCAGTACTTGGAGAATTTAAATAGACCAAACTTCATGATTCTTTTAAATAAAAATGAACTAAAAATTAAATTTTTTTATTTCACAGAAATCATTAGGCCTAGACTTAAAATGCCTCGAGGTTTCCCTGTCGCCTAGTGGAAAAGATGAGGTTGAAATAAAGAGAAAACAGACTGATGTACAGGGTGAGATGGGATATAAAAGAAGGAAAGCAATGTCAAGGCAGCACCAGAGTATGCTCATCTATTTTTTTCTATATATGTCATTTTTAAGAACATTTGGGACAACACAATCTGCTCAACAAATAATTCTTAGTGCACATCTTAATATTGTACTTAAAAGTATTAAGAACTATAGAGTGAAATATGAAGGCAATACAGTAATATAAAATGTATCCATTCATATTGCACCCAAACATAATTACATACATATAGTCAGGTCTATGTAATGATTATGATCTCAAAGTGCAGACTTTCAGCATTAATTTGAGGGTATACATTTAAATTGGGTGTACAGTGTAGGAATTATAATTATTTTTATATGTGTATGTTTTTGCCAACAGTACGTGAAATGTATGCTTGATTGGACTGAAGTCAGATGATTGAACGTTCCACTTCTTTGCCTTCTTTGAGTTCTTTTGTCAGCGGTCACATCATCAGTAAATGCCAGTGACGAGTTCCTCCAACAGCCATACATGCCCACGCCATAACACTACCTACAACATGCTTGACAGATAAGGTGGTATGGATTGGATTGTGAGCAGTTCCTTCCCTTCTCCATTCTCCATACTCTACTCTCCATAAGAGTCCACTTGGACTTCATAGTGAGAGTTAAGAGCAAGAGTTTCCAAATGCAAATGCCACACTTAAAATCAACTCTAGACCTTTTATCTACTTAGTCTGCATCTAAATATTTATGAACCTGACTGTAATTTCTCCTATACATAATTAGGTGGTTCCACCCCTTAATGTACTCTTGCCTCTCTTTTGCCACCCCGTATTTAAAACCTTGGATACACTACTGGGTGCAAGCAAGCAAACATTGTACAGAAACTGGACTGTGCAACCTCTTCTCAGCTGTGTGATTTTGGTCCTTCATTGTGCTTTCACATGGGAATGCTATAACATCCCTTCTGCTGAGCTCTTTGTGTGTGTGTGTGTGTGTGTGTGTGTGTGTGTGTGCAAATGTGTGTGAGTGATTCAGACTCTGCTAGTAAATGTGAACAGAGTTGCTGCAATTCATTCTCCTTTGCCACCTCATTATGACTCCATAGACACATTGAAGAGAGAGCGAGAGAGAGAGCACATTAGAAACTTCCGTGCTGCGCTACAAAAAGCCGCCTGTATGCCGGCCTCCACCGCTATTGTTCCCTCTAATTCATGGAGTCTGGCCCACCATTGACAACATGAAGTGTGAGTGGGGGGACAGCTATTGAGAGCATTCTGTTTTTAAGGGGTCGGGGAGAGAAAGGAGAGACAGACCTCTCACAGCTGGCCGACTGAGCACTGCATCTCAGCCTGCCTTTTATAGCCCTTCTATGAGGCCTCTGGTTTTCTTTCACTCGTCTTAAAAAAAGGGTGAGGGACTTCAAATGGATTCACATGAAACCAGCGCTCGAGAGCTCGGAGATCATAATAGGACAACAATTCCAGCGCTCTCATTTAAGAAAGCCATTCGCAGTGGAAGTGATTGAGAGACGCTTGATGTCTGGCATGAGGATGGAAAGGAATGCAAGATGTGTGCTGAGCTTTATGGGATTATTTTATTGATCACATAGAGGCAAAAGGACAGCTTAATTATACCAAGCATTTAGCATTTGGCATTATTGTTATGGAGTGAGGGTTCAGAACGACTGTTTAAATTTGAACTTGAACTTTCACCTCCTTCAGCATTGCGTATAACAGACTTGCATAATGCATAATGATGTTTATGTGTTTTGATAAGTGAATAAAACTATTAGAAAATGTTTCTTGTAGAGCTTCCGTAAACCCTTTAGATTCTAAGGGTCCACATGTGAGCCACAATTCAGTTCACTCTCTTATATGTTGGTTTTATAGTACTAATTATTATTACTGGTTGATAATAAGACAACAGTTGAAGGGGTTAAAAGAACTACTATTGCTGATTTCAAGATCCAGACCTGTTCTTTACATTGTGTGGCAATTCCATGAGGAATAGACCGATAGAAACGGTCTAAAATAAATATATTAGATTAAAACTACATTTTTCCTCCTGAGAAGTTGTAATATTGGAGATATGACATTTTGTTTAGATAGCAATGATATATTACTTTATCATAATAATGGTAATAGTTTATTCCTGTGGAATCAGTGTACACATGTGACACAAGTACAGTCATCATTCTTTTCAGTGCACTTTACTTTCTCTCTGATTTGCATTGAGTGTATGCAGTCTGGTTTGTCTAGTGTAAAGCCAAAAGCCAGGAAATGCAGACAGACTGGGTTCTATCTACTGCTCTGTCCTTCACCCCATATCAGTCATAAGGTAATCCTGTCCTGGTACCCCACACAAAAGCCCACCTCATCCAACCAGCTCCTCGTAGTTAACCGTAAACACATTACATATTCATCACCACACGGCAGGTCCTCCACCAGCGAGGGGGAATAAAACTGCAAATTTGATTACAAGCGCCCTTTGGCTCTGTGGCCGAGGCACAAAGGGCCCGGCTGTCTGGGGCGATTACCATGCCCAGCATGAGGTGATGTTTTACCCCACAGAATCCCCCAGCGCCCCTTGCACCGGGACATGCCTGTTTAGTGCGGGCCAGCGCTCTTTCTGCTCGCTTTGGCCCTGCTGGAGACCCCGCTCAAAAGGATCCCAGCTTAAAGAAGAGTTTCACACTGACTGCACTTCACTGAAGCTAGTCAACTGAACCCACTCAAACCACTGTAATGCTAAAGCCATTTGCTCTGCGCTGCTGTTTTTTCATTGCAGTTTATCATTGAAACTTAATGCCAGTAACAGCATCGTTTGTATGTGATTATCTGAGACTTTGGCACTTTTGACTTTAATTCTATATTATTGTACACTTTTGAAAGTGAAGGTGCCAAAAAAAAGGGTATTTGGAGCGATGCCATGATCTTTAAAGAAGTGTTTTTGTAAATGATGCGTGAATGTGAACTTTTTTCCACCACATAATGCAAAGGTTCTATACCAGTTAAAGGTTTTTTATTAGAACTGTATGTTCAAGCCTAGAACAATTTAGGCAGCTGAGAGGTTAAAGTGGAAACACTGGAAAACGAGCAAGTGACCTCACTTAAGCACAATATTTCAGCTAACTGTCAAATCAGATAACTGGAAATCATTCTGCACTGCTAACAATGTGGTGTTTTGACTACGATTGTTACTGTTCTGCCTCAACATTTTGAAATAATTGCACTAATAGTAAGTTAACAGAACAAGAATCTGTTTTATCTGTCAACTTATTATTTAAAGTTCAAATTACTCAAGATTTTAAGGCAGCCCAGTAACTACCTTTTTAAAGTTGAAACACCAATTTTTACAGTGTGACATTTTAGTAGTAACTGAATGACCGAATGAATAATGTGCTATTTCACAGTGCAGTCTGTCAAACAGGCCTTAGTTGCAGCTTAAATGAACTTTTTGTGTCAGCTGTACTTTTGAAAATTTCATCTGACAGTTTGTCAGTATATCACTCAAACTGGACTCACTCCAACATTTGGAACACTTTGACGCTTGACGTCATAGCTGTGAGTGCTGAGCGGAGGCTGACAGCGAATAAAAGGAGAAAGAGATAAGCTGTCATGCTGATGAATTCTCCTGCTAGCCGTGCTGTGATGCACACAGTGGACTAAACTGGAATAAACTTTCACATGTGAAAGTGATACTGATGAAGTTTGAAGAGTCTTGGTAGAGATACTGTAATGCTAGCTTTCTTTTCTGATAAAAATTTTCAAAGTTTGAGTATTGGCTCATACAGATTCCATATTTTTCTTTTAAAAGGTACCAATCTTTAAAATGAGCTATTTTTCATTAAAATAATTTACTGAAAGGGTAATTCCACTGACTGTTCAAAATTTCAGTGTAATTAAATCATTTAGACATAAACAAAGCCATTCAGTGTGATTTGGTGTGAAATGCTTTATTCTAGAGAAACTTACAAAGTCAGAATTGTTCACAGTGGTGGTGATAGGAACCAGACATCTGAAAAGTTTAATGCCTTTAAAAGCTCCCTCACAGAAACTTATTACCTAAACTAATTATGAAAATGCTGCCTGATGACTGAGACACTGTCTTACAATAGTTTGGAGACCAACTTTTGGGCTAAAGTCTATTTTTTTCTTCAAATTGTTTCATGGTGAAGAGTTACATACGGGATGTTATAAGGCAAAAGAAAATGCAAAATAAAAAAAAACCCCACAAGTTGTTTTTTTTTTTTTTCAGATTTATCACTACTTTTTAATACCAACATTACATTTTAAACTCAGAAGACACATGTAGGTTCACTGGTGGTTTTGGATAGTAAATTAAATGGCTCTATTTGCATTGTAGATACAGAAACCCCTGGTTCCTTTCACCACCACTGTAAAAAAGTTTCTCTACAGTTAACCATTTCACATCAAACCACTCTGAATGACTTTGTTTACATCTCAACCACTGAATCATGCAGAAATTTTGAAAAATTGGTGGAAGTCTCCCAGAAAAGCATCTAAAAATAGGCTATCATGCCAAAACTATTGAAACACATGATGTCACACAATGTGAGTGCTATTTCAGGATAGATTTGTTACAGTATTAATTCACATTTATTTATTTATTTTTTTGCTCCAATATCAGCTCCAGCATTTTGCCCGCAGATTGCTGCCGTCTCTAACAACCAATAAATGCTAGTATGTTCCAGTAGACTATCTAATATAGAATCCAGTGTTGGCTCATAAATCACTTACTTATTTGTCAAAATATGCAGTCATTTGAACCTTCTTCCATAAAAGCACATAAATCCATGCTGTCCATAATCATAAAGCCAGTGACAATAGAGGTGTTCATGATAAGCTGTGATAGACTGAGAGGCAGATAGTTTTATAGGCTGACTCTTGATGGGTTTTTCAATAGGTGCCTCTGAAAAAGACACAACTATTTACTGCTCCTGGACTCTGTTTGGTGTGCAAGTTAAACTTTGGTCAGGAGTCCATTGTCTCCAATGTCTATCATTTAATGGCCGCTTTGACATAATGAATGAAGTGGTCCCACCTTCTGTCCAGCAGAAAGGCCCTACTCTTATCTCCTTTCACAATCACTCTGCAGTAGCTCAACCAATCAGGGCCAGGCTTCGGGTGCCCGTGGGCAAAAGAGGGAAAGGAGTTATTGTTTTCTTTCTGCTTTTTAATGAAGTTTACCCTGTCGCTCTTTCAGGAAAATGTTAGTAGCTTGGAAAAACTTCGCAAAGCGCTGCGGGTCTGCCTCAGAGGGAGTGAATTCATGAGGAAAGGAGGATCAGAGAATGATGGCTGAATCTCCGTCAAGGCATCCCGGCTTTGGCAATTCTGGGAAGAGTTTTCTTATTGATAATCTGTTGCGTCCTGGCAATAAATCACCTGCTCCTCAGATCATACCTGACGCTGCTCAGAGAAAGGTGCTATCCCGGGTTGATGTGTCGGCCGATGGGTCTGGCTCTGAAGGGCACATGGGGACCCTCATATGGAGCTCAGCAGAGTCATCTACAAGAGACAGAGAGAGAGAGACTCAAACCACATTCAGGTAAGACCGCATACTTAGTTCATTTCAGTGCAGTTGTTCTGAATGCTTGAGAACTGTGAATGAAGTGTGGGATAAATTTGGCCTAACATCAGTGCAGCTGCTGGAAAAGTGACAGTAGTGACTGCAGTATTAACATTATTATTAGTCAGTGATCACACTGTTCTAAGCGACTAAGTGTGTATCTTTAGCTTAATCTTGAATCATCAGCTTAAAGATGGTTACAGATCTGTCGCATACATTAAACCAAGGACCTCACGTTTTTCTCATTTTTAAAACAATTGGGTAAAAAAAAGTCAGTATATTTTTTGACTTTTGCTTTTTTCCAAAATTATTTGATATCTGGAAAGTTGAGCTCAGTGATGTAACTGTTATAAAAATCCAGTTATTTTTTGTAGAGTGTAGAGACTTGGTAGATTTGCTGTCTACATCAAATAAATCCATTTCAGATGCTATGTGTTAAATATAATATATTATTCTTTTGATAATTCTGTCTGACCTCACAGAAAGTATTAAAAAGTCATTACTGTCACAGCAAATTGTAATTTTACAGAAGAAGGAAGAACATTTGTAACTATGAATGGAGGTTAATGGAATAAGATTTTTTCCCAAATGATTTTGGAGCATTTCTATCATGAAATTTTAACAATGTAAAACGGAGCTGGCATTTTTAAATTCTGTAAAAAAAAACAAAAAAAAACGAGGTTTTGTTCTGACAGTGATGACATCTAAAAGTGTAACTATATATAACTATACATATTATAACTGCCATAAGTCCTGAATTTACATATTTAAGTTTTTTTTTAACAAAAATGTAAAATGTTATGAAAGTATGTAACATTCTGGATATTTTAGAAACTCTGTTCTGCTGGTCCAATTTACACATTAAAAAATGTATTGGGCTTAAGGACTAGATGGTCCCTCTAAGATGATAGATAACTAAAGCCTTTACTCTATGCAATCTGAATAGTAAAGTCCACTGTCATACAGTATGGCACCTAAAAGTTAATGATAATTTTAATAAAAAAAACCCACACAAAAAAAACAATGTACAAGCAATAGACTGATCAACAGTCTGAGATCTATGATTATGTTTTTTAATCAGCAGGACCTACTCTAATGTCCTTTATATTTTAGGTAAGCAGTTTTCCTCATTCAAATATATCATTCAGTGTGACAAATTCAAACTGATATTTTAAAGTTTTGATGAAGTTTCTGATAATATACCAACCTTGTGTATACAAATGCTCCATGTTTTTTTGATTAATTCCATTGAGTACATAAACTTGTGTTTTTTAAAATTAGGAAGGAATAGAAGCTGGGATCTTCTGGCAGGTCCTAACAATTTAAGAGGTTAAAGAGAGTGTGGCAGAGACATGCAACTTACAACACAGTGCTGTCCAAACGTTTCACTCCATCTGAGGAAACAAAATGTAGGGCTGTTTACCTGGACAGTAAAAGAACTAAAATGTGAATAAATACACATAAACAAAACAATACATTGTAATTTTTCTGGCATTTTTCTGGTAAGTGTTGCCTTTTTATTGCATTAGCTTAACCATTTCCACATCTCTCCTCGAGGAAGTCCAGTATTTACAGTTACCATCCAATGCCTGCTTCAGCTCATCAGGCCTTCAAATTAAATTAGGTGCTGCTGCTGATGGAATTTAATCAATCCATGCTGCAGTGCACTGAGAACTCAGGAACCAAACCTGTTTTCTTCTAATTCTAGTCTACTAAACAACATATTAATAATGTGTTTTAAAAACGAAAAACTTGTTATATTTTATTGTGTTAATGTCTGTATGTTTTATTATCTTATGTATTGTTTTACAGACAAAAAACACACTTACTGCTCAAGATAAATTTGAACAATTTTCTTGGCTGCCTTTCGCATAATACTACTTTATACCACTGCTTCTGTCCAAACAACTGTAATTACAGTTGTATGCAAAAGTTTGAACACCCCTAGTCAAATGACATGTTTTGTTGTTTTTCTAAGTGAAAATAAGTTACACATCCTCTACAGAGAGCACACTTAAACGTGCACAATATCCATATCCATTTATTAGAGGAGTTTAACATGTTAGAAAAAACATACAATATAAAATGTGCTGTAACATTTGCAGAGACCACATTTTATGTTTTATATTTATATTTTATATTTCCCAGCATGTTAAATTCAGTGAATAAACAGTGTTTGTGTATTAAACTGAGCAGAAGTGTGTTCTCTGTAGAGGATGTGTTCACTTATTTTCACTTAGAAAAACAATGAAACATGTCACCCAAACTTTTGCCTAACATGTATAAATCAAAAGGACTTCATTACAAAGCCCAAAAGTGGCGTGTTAATTGGATAGTGTGTGCTGTTGAGTGATGATGAGTGTGTGTTTTTGTGTGCATAGCAGTGATGATGCTGTGCGCGTCTCCTCTCATTCACCCCTGCTGCGGCGGCTCCACACCACTGACCTGCTCTCCTCCTCTCCTCTCCAGCTCCAGTGAGTCTATTACACACACCAACACCCACATACACACACACACACACACACACATACACACACACACAGTCAGTGATTCAACAGCTAATCGCTAATTCTTCTCTAATATGCACACCACTGCACAGCTATTCATCAATCATGCCTATTTAGTAGAGGGATGCTTTTATTACCATGTAGCCACACACACACACACACACACACACACACACACACACATATGCACTCTGCAAGAGAGAGGGAGAGAGCGAGAGAGAGAGAGCGAGAGAGAGAGAGAGAGAGAGAGAGAGAGAGAGTGAGAGCACAATAAAACCACACCTCCTGTTTTCTGCCAGAGTAGGTTAGAATTGATATTAAGTGCACCATAATGGCCAAACCCATTCTTTCACCCTCTGTGTTCAGTGAGCTCCAGCCAGCCTGCTTTGTATTCCTGCTCTCTGTTTCTGAACTGGCAGCAGTGTGTGTGTCGTTCCCTTAAGATCCCTTAAGTTCAAATACGGTAACAGGATTGACTGTTTAAGTATGAGAGTCGCAGATAAATATGTATTTGTGCAGCACTGTGCAAATTTTGTTTCTAGTCGAAACAGCCATTACGTACAAAGAGTTTAGATATAAGATAATCCACTCGTATAAGGAAAAGGAAAAAAGGAGAGGAGAAAATCAAGCTCTACTCTTACTTCAGTTCTGAAAAAATCCACAACTATTTCTGTCCATCTTTACACTATGAGAAGACAACTCAACACTATGAGTCTGAAAGGATATGTGGCTGTCAAGAAGCCGTTACTGAGAAAAGGAAACAGACAAAAAAGAAGAAAAATTGCAAACCAAACAAAGAAGCTGCTGGTGAACAGTGAACCGACCCCCCTGAGTCCAGAGCTCAACATCACTGATGCAACCAATGCATACAGTTACATTACAACTCTCCAACCAACTTCTAAGACAGAATTTTGAAGGTGTGTAAAGTAAAGGCAAAAATGGGCCTTATATTTAGTTGCTGAGGCTTCTGGGTATTTTCTGTGAAACATATGTTTTCTGCTTTTTTCCTGTCACTAAAAAATGATTATCTTGTACTCAGCCGTTTGTCAGGAAATTAAATAAATGAATTGTTGTTTTTGACTTTTTTGCACAGAACTGTGTGTATACTGCAATGCAATGGTATGCAACGTATGCAGTTTAGTAATATCCATGTTGTTTAAGAAGTCTAAAAAAAAGAAAAATAATTGTCCAACATTTTCAGTTTACTCAAGTCTTATGCTGATGACACCTGATATGAAAGTCCTGTGACGTAGACTCACCACCTCTCTGCCATCCTCCCGCCTTGAAAAAAATCCTCTGAAAACTTTTTAGCTGCTTGACACTTTCCCACAGCGCCCCTCACACACACAATGCCGCTTTGCCCCGTGACCAATCGGCTCTTTCAGCCAGGCCGCACACACGCGACCCCACTGCCATTTTTCACCACAGCAATGAACTCGGCTTGAAGGAGTAGTGGCTTTTCTACCCTGATCTGGGACCAGTGTGTTGTTCCCACACTCTGACCTCAGCCGTTCTGAGAAAGCCCACAGGACTGCTGTGAGATCAGTAAGAAAAGGGCGACTTCTCTCCACACAATGAAGGCCTGCAAACCTACATTCCTATGCAGAGAGAGGGAGGGGTCGCTTCTCCGGCCTTTTTGTTGTGGGCGATAAAAAGCTGGGCCCTGAAAAACCGCCTCCTCTTTTCTCCTGTCCCTCACGTGCTGGTCTCTGTCCATTTCGGGCCCCCTTTGCTGAGGAGGAATAATGCGCTCAATGGTGATGACTTTTATAGACTTATTGGAGCTCATCTTCCCATAGAGAGAGAGACTGTGTACCTGCGGGTGAAAGGATGGAGTGAGGGATGGCTGGTTGCTGAAGGGACAGCGGAGGAATGGAGAGGGGGTCTTTTGTTGAGCTAAAAGGGAGATTTTGAGGGCACAAAGGAGCGAGAGGGAATAAGTAGCCTGCTCGTGAGTTGACCCACTAATAGGGCGTTTAAGTGGAAACTATTGATCCAGAATGATGGACTAGGGAGCGTGACTAACAGTCTTACTCACTGCTTCGAAGGTGGTCAGCGCAGCGATTTGTTGGACAGATTAAGGACGTATTGTTGAATAGACTGGGGGAAATTGTGCTGCTTGACTTTTTTGTCAGGCCTGCACCTGTGATTGAAAAAGCGTGGGATTGCTGCTTACAGGCCCTCTATTTCTCTATCACTCGCAGTCTCTCTCTCTCTCTCTCTCTCTCTCTCTCTCCCTCTCTCTCTCTCCCTCTCTGTCTCTCTCTCTCTCTCTCTCTCTCTCCCTCTCTCTCTCCATGTTTCTCTTTCAGTCTGACTCTCTCCATCTCTGTCACTATTTGTCTCTATCTCTGTCTCTCTTTCATTCTGTCTCTCTCCATCTTGCTCTCTCCCTTTCTCTCTCTCTCGCTCTCTCCTCTGTTTCTCTCTCCATTTGCTCTCTCTCTCTCCTCTCTGTTTCCCCATCTTGCTCTCTCCCTTGCTCTCTCTCTCTCCTCTTTTTCTCTCTCCATCTTGTTCTCTCTCTACCCCCTTCTTGCTCTCTCCCTCGCTCTTTCTCTCCTCTCTTTTATATTTCAAACTTGTTCTCTCTCTCTCTCCCCATCTTGCTCCTTCCCTCCTCTTTTTCTCTCTCCATCTTGCTCTCTCTCTCTCTCTTCCCTTTCTCTCTCAATTTTGCTCTCTCTCTCTCCCTCTCTCTTTCTCCTCATCTTGCTCTCTCCCTTTTTCTCTCTCTGTCTCTATGAGAGTTGCAGATAAATATGTATTTGTCAGATTTTCTTTCCGATCGAAATGGTTGTTACGTACAAATGATTAATTTTTTAGGAGATATTTCTGAGGAGATCAGATATAGAATCATTCAGCTGTATAAGGCCAACGCCATTCAATTGTCTTTAATGGCAGAAATGAACAACTGTCAAGAAATGCTTAATATTAATGAGAGATAGTAATACTGGAGAAGAAAAAGAGAATAAAACAGAGAACAAAATATATAATCTGTCTCACATACCTCCATCTCCATACACATTCCTTTTATCTGCTTACTTATTTCTCCGCTTAGAGAAATTATAACACACGCCTGTCCGTGGAACAGCCGAGCAGCCCACAGTCTAATTACTTTTGAGCTCCTGAAATGGGAGGTGGGGGGTATGTATTTAAAATGATTGTAATTCCTACAACATTCACCTAATTTGAATGTAAAATAATTTTGAAAGGCTGCACTTTGAGCACATAATTATTATTTAATTTAAATTCCAATGCTTTGTCCATGCCTTTGTTGACATCAAAGCATTTATGGATCTGATATGTCTTTGACTGTCTGTCCCCCCTCCCCCCTCTCTCTCTCCCTCTCTACCTGTTTGACAGTCAGTCACAGAACAGAACAGGCTATGCTCCGGGGTCAGAATGCTGTGACACTACATGAGATAAGAGACCATCTGGACGGTGTTCAGATGCACAGAACATTTTGGAACACTTTGCTCCAGACACACACACATATTCACCAGTTGTCATTGTGTGTCAGAGCCTGACACGAAAGAGGCCCAAAACTAGACGGCCCCCTGAGCACAGGCCCATTAAAAGTCCTCTTAAGTCCTCTGACTGCTGTATGTGTTTAATATGGGTTTACACACTGGATGACCCAAACTGTGGAACTTTAACTCTCAGGGTTTATCTGAAGTTCAACAGACACACATACCTTTTACTCTGTCCTCTCTCTCTCTCTCTCTCTTTCTCTCTCTCTCTCTGTCTCAGAGGGTTCAGGTTGTGCAGTCTGGAGTGCAGGATCGAGCCCTAAACCCCACAGAGGAATCCTGAGGAGAGCGGTGTTCTCAGAGCAGCAGAGGAAAGAGCTGGAGAGAACGTTCCGCAGACAGAAATACATCAGCAAAACTGACCGCAGCAGACTGGCCACGCAACTCTGTCTGAAAGAAACACAGGTAACACACACACACAGGCTGCCTTTACCTCACTAATAATCACACTTACATAGAACAGTGTGCGTACATCAACAATAAAAAACAAATAATAATTCCTGGTTTGGTATAACAATGAAAAAAAATCAAAACTATGAGATAACACATGGAAGTATGCAGTGACCAAAATATGTATATTTTGATAAGTAACAAAAAGTCACACTGTTTAGGTAACCAGGCCTGTCAAATTTGGCCCTTGAGGATGTTTTATTTAGCCCATTTGAAAGTTATCCTAACCCCATCCCCACACCCAATAACAGAACAAATTATTATACTATATACAATTATTACATTATTTTTTCTTTTAAAAATTAAGCAATTTACATAATACACACATAATTTAGAAATTGTAAACAATAATATACAAATATACAAATTACATAATAAATACATTACAAATTACATATGTACATGACATGACACTATATTTACATAACGTAATGTTGTTTACATTTATATTTCTACCTACATTTGTATACATTTATATACCTTTGTGTATGTCCTTTTGACCCTTTGGCCCCCAAGAAAAAATGTTTGGGCAGCCCTGTGCTAGATTATCAACTAGCCACTTAACAAACGGGTTCTACATTGTACCAAAAAAGGGTTCTACTTGTTACAGGTTTTAAATAAGAGAGAATAACCAATTAACATATATATTATGTGTGTGTGTGTGTGTGTGTGTGTGTGTACCCTTGAATTGGAAACAGACCTAAAGAAATATGTGATTATGATTAGGCTGTTTAAACACATTCACTTCTCATTAACAATAATGGCTCGCCAGGACACCAAAAGTGTTTTTCTATGGTATCATTCAAAGAACTCTTTGGTTATCTGTTTTAAAAGAGTGTATATTGTCAGTGATACACTGATTTCATATAGTCATATCGTGTGAGCAGTTGCCTGCTGCTTTTGAACCTGCTGTTTCTGAGCAACGCATTTAAGACCGGAAGCAGCCAGTAAAGTAAAATGTTTCTGTGACAGTACTGTTTTTAACCAGTGGCGAGTAAAAGTGTGGCTGGGGTGTTTTATATACATGCTTCTGGTAGCAAGTTGCAGAGGCAAGTGGCAGTGAGCAACAGAATATAGACACAAAACGTAGTAGTGCCCACATTTCACATACCTCTGTTTACACAAAACGTAGCTAACCCAAATACAGTTGATGTATATTGTGTTTGCTATATACTCACTGTCCATATCAGCAGGTTTTCATATTCACTGAAAAATAGCTTCACACTACAGACATTTACAACACACTTCACCGCACAGTTTGTGGATAATGCCTGTTTACGTCACAGTGCCATAAAGTGTGCAAAAAGACATAAAACAATGCATCAGAACTGGATTGGGTTTGATTAGGATTGAATCTGGACATCCCTAAAATTTAAAGGTTTTAAAAGTCTAATCTATAAAATAACATTAAATAACATAATGCAAAACATACGTTCAAGCAGATGCATACACATTTTTTGTAAAGAATTTTGAGTAGTACAGTATGTGCGTATGTTTATTGTCTCACCCCACATCAGTGTGAAAGACCTCATGCTACTCTGTCCTTTTTTATAGTATAGAGCTGTCCTCAATAATGATGTACCTCACTGTGCGTACATGCATATGTGTGCAAAAAGAGAGGGAGTATCCTGCTGCAGGTGAATAATTGGCTCCAGAACCACAGAATTAGGTGGAGGAATGTGTGATCTAAAAGGGTTTGCTGTTTGATTTGATGAATGAAAATCTCTTATGCTGCACATATTGCAGCCAAGCTTAAAAACACCTTATTTTTTCAGAGTAAAATGACAGAGCACATTGCGAAGGTAATTGGAATCTGCAGGTGTCTGACATCTAATCTGACTTGTTTAATGTGGCATGAAATGATTTAAAACTGCAACTTTCTTGTCTTGAATTTAAGACAACTTACTGCTGTGTCGCTGTTGGACACTACAGCACCTCTATCAAAATTGCTTTCACTGTTGTTTTCACTCTAGCATTAGCACGGTTTATTACACCTCTGAGAACCGTAAGAAATACAAAAGGAAGCAGAAGTTTTTTTCTCACACCTTCATTAAAAGCCTTTTTCATTTAAGTGTATATTGTTCACCTACCTTATAAATCACTATATAGGTGTACACAAATTCAGCCCTACTCTGCCTCATTCATCACTGGCCAGTTGCTGATCACTGGACCAGATATTATTTGGGTGGTGCACCATTATCAGATCAACAAAACATGTACCTCACCTGCTTGAACTTTTGCATACAACGGTCCATGGTTGTGATGATATGATTGATAAGAGAGGGTTTGCTGGGGTTTTTAGTGTCATTGTTGGTTGAGAGAGGAAACTGACCACTGATGAAGTGAGACGAACTGTGCATGACAGCAGTTGGGCTTTAGTCTTGAACTGTGCACTGAAAAAAGTGATGCAGTGAATCTACTTGATTCAAATTTTGCCTTTGAATCAAGTCCACATACTTCTAGCACTAACTGTGTTGATGTGATATATTTTGTTCGTGTAGAAATGATGTATACATTTGATAGACAGATAGATAGACAGACAGACAGACAGACAGACAGACAGATAACTTTATTAATTCCAGAGGGAAAGTCGTCTATTACAGCAGCACAAAGTACAGAAAAGAGTGAAACAAGAGCAAAGTATTGTCATACGCTATTATACAGATGCATAAATTGAAGAAGTAAAGATATACAATAAAATATACCAAAACAACCATAAAATATAATGTGCAGTACAAAAATAAGTTAGTAAAATCACGTAAATATTATGCAGCTGACAATGCAGTGGTGCATATCACATCCAGTGAATGAACAGAAAGTGACTACACACTGTAAATGACAACATATGTTAATAGTTGTATATGCATAGGTATATAAACAATTGGCAGTGCAATGTGTAATATTTGAATCAAGTAAATTAAAATTCCTTTTCTCAGTTTAGACCCCATGTGTCAAACACAAGGCCAGATCATGCCCACAACACAATCCCATCACAAAGTATTTTAATATTCTATTAATATTGGCTTGTTTAACAATGTGCTGCACTACAGTCCCCAGCATGCACTGCAACGTAATGTGCTCTGACTGTCCCATCCCAACAACGGTCTATGTGACAGCGGTTATGGCTCAATTCTACGCAATTCCACATGAGTCGTTTCACCAAACACCCTAGCTGCATTTCAGCTGCGGTTCAACCAGCAAAAAAGCCCAAGTCTTAATGAACTTGCAGCAAAGAAAAGATACCAGGTGTCTAGTTCAAGTGAATAGGTTGGTCACTGTGCTAAGCTCCTGAGGACATTTAAATATTAAACATTTCAAGTATTCATGTAATATTTCAAAGTCTACTACAAGTGCTTATATTTTACTGCTTAAGTTTTTGTGTATTTTGAATAAATAATGGCCAGTTTAGGTTATAGCACAACATTAATTAAAAATGAAATAAAAACATTTTTTTCTCTGGCCCACGGATTTGTTGAGACTTTTTAATATGGCCCCTTTAGTGGGTGAGTTTGACACCCCTGGTGTACACCAACAAGGTGAAGCTACAAAGCAGTTGTTTCTAATAAAGAGGCCAGTAAGTGTACTTGCATCCTGTATGTAAATCCAAAGACCTGCTTATTCTGCTTCAGGTGAAGATTTGGTTCCAGAACCGCAGGATGAAGTGGAGGAACTCAAAAGAGAGAGAGAGTCTGAGCACACGGCCAGCTATGGAGGAGCTGCTGCTCAGGAGCATTTCGGACGGAGAGGGAGAAACAGGACACACAGACACAGCCCTCCGAGCGCCACAGAGTCATCACAGCCCCCCAGCAGCGACTGACAAACGTTCGAGAGATCGTACGCACCAGGCCGCTCACAGTGTCCAGAGATAAGAGACGTTTGCACATCTCTGTCTCTGTGCTTCACTGAGCTTATGAAACAAAAGTTTCTACATGTATTAAAAAGCTGTGCAGCAACTCAAACCTGTAAATATGTCTTCACAGACAGCCAAAGCAGACTTCGTTACTGTTTTCTTTTTTTCTGTGGCCTGTTGTATAGGACCGTATGCTTTTATTGAGTTTACTCACACTTTAATTCACTGTACTAACTGTGCTGTAACTGACAAATACAGAAATGAAACTCTGACAATTATTTGTGAACAGTAAAAATGCTAATATGATCACACGGATGTACCACTTTTGTAGGACTATCTCATGGCACAGAACACAGAGTACCTTACAGTAGTGAGCAATAACAATGGAACATTGTGAATTACATATGCTTTTACGTGTAATCTCTCATGATGTTGATGTAATGTCACTTGTATATAATGTTTAATGATCGCTGACATGAAAGATAAAAAAAGACATTGAAATGACAGGATTTTTGCTTTCTTTTCTTACATGAATGTTCAGCTCTTTGTGCATGCAAGAACAACAAAAAAGTGATTTAACATACAAAAAACACACATATCGCTGCTGTCGGATCAAAACCTCGTATCTCCAAAATGGCAACTTTACGGGAGAAGGAAAAAACACACTTTACTTTTAATGTAACTAAATGGAACCAGAGTAATTTTGGGTCATTTCTTTTGGTCCATGCACCATGAAATTTACACAAGGGTAACATGCATTTTCAAATTATGTCAAAAACTGAAAAACAACAAAAATAGAGGTACAGGGTTTTCTTCCAACAGCAGCAATTTATTTATATATCATTTTAACATAATATACTGACTCTCAAACAGACTACAAATTAAGCTACTGTTTAGGGCTTAGCACCATCTTCAGTTTGCCATTGCACATATCAGCCAGGTTCTCACGTGTGGTCTCAACAGTTATAGAACTAAACACCAACCTGGTCTTAAATCCATTGTTTTAGTGTTCTTCTAATGTAACCTTCTAGATTTTACTTCTTAAAGTCAACCTTAAATCTGTAAACTGACCTTTTTACCATCTTAGTTCATACTCATGGTTATATTACGCACAATCCACCATGTATTATTTAAAAGACAAACTTTTTCCAATAAGCTTACAGTAAAATGTGATGTTTTTCACATATTTCTAAAACGACTTCTGATTTTTGATTACATCACCTTGCACCAGCAGGTGGGAAAAGATAATAATAACCAATAATATCATGTTTCATCTCTCCTCCCACCACCAAACCTTGTCATTGAGTGTTAACATTCAGCTAGCTCAGAGGCCCTGTCTGCTATTGTGTTTCACTCTGAAACACAGAACCGTACGGAGGAAAATGCTTTATCGTTTACAATTAGTGTTCATTTTAACACATACTGCTCCTTTTTTACCATTGAGAACTCACTTAAAACTTTGGCCTACATGTAAACTTTGGCTGTATTTGGCTGTAAGGTGTGCTCAGTGTTAACATCCATTCTCAGGCAGGATCCTGCACTTGAGGATCTTCAGGTAACTCCAGATTTTATCAGAGTCTCTGCGGAAGCAGTGGAGAAGGTTGAGATTATCCACAGAGAAAACTGAACTGCTATCAGCATCCAGAGACTCCAAGGAGTCCTCCCAGTTCAAGAAGTTACTGAGTATACCCAATAACTGCATCTGAGAGAGAGCAAGAAAGAGATAAACAGAAAGATAAAGAGAGAGAGAGCAAGAAAGAGAAATTATATATATATATATAGTATTACTTCTCAGAGCATTACAAATGGTTGACCTGACTTGTGTGCACACACAGAACAGACTGACATGCACACTCGTACACATACATTTGGTTTTATACAGTGGGATGATCAAAGAAATCTGCAGGGATAATTTTGCACATCTCCACAGTTCAGTCTAAGAAGTTGGTTGCATTTTCTGCTTCTCATGATCCAAATAATCCTAAACACATTCAGTAACGGCTTCTTGAGTTGATCTTGATTTTCTCCTCTCTCTAATCTATTATATCTTCTCAGAAATAGAAAAAAAACGAATAACTTGTACTTAATGGCCATTTTGACTGAAAATTTTTGGATCACAAACTCCACTCTAATTCATCCCAAAGGTATTGGAAGGAGCTCCATCACCATCATGTTTGGCTTTGAGCATGGTGACCTTAGACTTATGTACAGCTGCTCCACCATGTCTCATTCTACTGGCAATGCTTTTCTAAGGAGATTATACAAGCTGTGTGTGCGCAATAGAACACCTGTGTCAGCAATGGAGCACCTTAAAGTAGCTGAATTCACTAATTAGAAGAGGTGTCTGGATACTTTCGGACATATATACATATGCAGAATGTAACTACATAAAATAAGAATCTTCTGAGCTTAAACCTAGTGACGAGAAAAAAATGTTTTTGCCCTTTTAAAAGCATATGCTTTTAAAAAGGCTAAAACATCTTTTTCAGGGTAGAGGCTGCTGGTTTAAAAAAGCATTTGTCAAAAGCAGATGTATTTTACACAGACACACAGCTCTTCCACACCTTCTCTGCCACTTTCTGTACTCCGTTCTTCAGCTCATGCACCATGTCACTCATTTCCAGCGCTTTGTTGCTGCTGTAAATGTTGTAGTCTTGTTGCTGGGTCATGCTTTGATGGAACTGAGCCAGAGGTTCTCCCCACGCCATCAACAGCTTCAGAATCACCTCGGTCAACTCCTCTCCCTGCACACACACAAGGATATGCCCACTGGCAGAAGACTACTTCTACTTTTCATTTTATTCTGGTGCAGATGGGAAATTCACCACTGATCTTCACTGCTATTTCAGATGCAGCATAATCAGCTCTTAAAGAAGTTAACTTTTTAAATAATATAAAGAGAAAAAACACAAAAGTGAAAGGACATACTCACTGCCAGCTTCTGTGCATGTTCCTTCCCATTTGGAGTCACTATATAAGACGTGTGGCACTTTCTGGTCCCTATTTGGTTTTTGCTGGGAATGAAGTACTGCTCCTTTTCAAAGCATAGGCGCATTAGATGGAATGAGATTTATAAGAAAATCAGTGAGAAGACATTTACAATCATACAGCTTACAAAAGTCTGCAGTTAGACAATACAGTGTCAGTAGTAATCTGCTCCATTAGACGTATCGGTGTTCATTCATACTTCTGCTTTTAAACTGACGTGACAGGGAAAGAGAACAAACAGAGACTGAGGAAAGCGAGGATAAAGAAAGACACTTACAAACTCAGAATGCAGATCACTGGACAGTCCGTGCAAGCGTGCGGAGTGCTGAACGACTCGGTTAAAAAGGTCTGCCAGAGATACAGTCTGACATTCAGGATGCTCATGAGCACAGATGGGTGCAGATGCCATCCTCTCAGCTCCGCTCACACACAGCACGAGCAGCAAGGACACTGTCAACAGAAAACATTTCAACATCGCAGGACATGTTACAAGTGGAAATCACATGCATTTCTATAAAATGTTTTGCCTACCTGTCTTTGACATGTCCAGCATCCTCCTTACTCGCTGAGGTCTGCACTAGTGTCAGCTGAAGCCCAGATGGAACTCTTTCTGAAGTCTCTTATAACAGCAGGCTTTATGCATGGGGTGGCTGGGCTGGACTGAATATGCGTGTTGGAGTTCGTCATCCCTTTGCCAGAGTTTCATCAGCATCATCATTATCCTTGAACCCCAGAGCACAGAGCAGGCAGCCAGGCTGAACTAACATGTCTGTCATTCAGAGGGAGGTTTGATGGGACAGTAATAAGCCAGAGGAGCAGATAGAGTGGCAAAAGTCTCAAGGAGTGAGACCACCTGCTTTCAGCACACTGTTAATGCAAACTGTTGAGTTCCAAAAATCTGCCCCAGTGTAAAAAGTTCTGAAGGAGGAGTCAAATAGATTTGATGCCATTTTGCATTGCTATATAAGCAATCATTGGGAGGGGTTTGGGATAGAGGTCGGGGTGGAAACCTAAGGTCATATTGCCCTCTGACAGTGCACTATGACAAAGAGCCTTGTTTACTTTTCCGGTTGAGGAGATGTATTGTCTATTGTCCAATTCAGTGCTGGCTTCAGGGCTTGAGGCCATCATTAGCCTCATATCACAGGAGGACAATAACAGAGTAATAATAATAGTTTTAATAGAAGGAAGAAATAAATGCTTTGCTACAGTTAAAAAGAACATTGAGTGGACATTTCCTTGTTTTCATTTTCTTTCCTCAACTGTGCACAGCATCACTCTCAGCCTGTAGGAAGTCTTTCTTGTTTGAGTCAGATGTGTGCTTCCTAGCCCTTTATGTATAGAGGTTTTTTTTTTTGTGGGGGGGCAATGTGAAACGCTAATTGGTGAGCTATAAGCTTTAATAACTTGTTAGCTACATTGGCCTAGTAGCTCCAGTTTAAAAATAAAGAAGCAACCTTCAGTCACCAAATATGTCTTGGCAGACTGATTACATTTGTAGTAAGGAGGAATTGTGTAAATTTGATTTTTCACCAAACTATCACTTTAAAATAGTTAAAGAATCTAAGAATCTAATATAAGTACATTCCTAGAGCTGTCTACCAGAACTTCAAACTACTGACTGATTAAGCACTGACGTTTTTTCTTCATTTTCAGTTATTTTATAATTTTGTAGTTTATAATGATGGAACTATGGCTGGAAAATATATATTGTTCAGCTCACAGCTCCATGACACAATTCAGTCCTGAAAGTCGTCAGATGTAATAAAGAGCATCATCTCTCGCTACTACTGCAGTAATTCCTAGAAAAGCATACTTTAATATACATGCCTCTGACGTCAGTGTGTATCGCTGCAGCATGGACACACACACACACACAGACACACATAAACACACACACACACACACATCATCCTCCTTCTTGCTTACAGATTGCACGACTGCTACACAAGCCTGAGGGCAGTTCCAAACCGGATACAACCTCGGTCACTCTCCTTTGATGTTTAATGTTTGTGTTTTCATGAGGGCACACAGAGAGGATGTTTCTGCTACAGGGTCAACATTCCTGTGCTTTACTTTTATTCAGTGAGCATGAAGAAACAATATCCTGTAACATGTGGATTATTATGTAAATGTAAGGCATAATGTGGAAGATGTTTCACCCAAAACACAAAATACCAAAATATACTTCTCATCTGTCCTTTGTATGTGTGAATGAGCTATTACACAGCACAACATCTATCTATCTATCTATCTATCTATCTATCTATCTATCTGTCTGGTCTGTTTAGTTTAGGTTCTGCACAGTGAAAAATGCAGTGCAGGCTTAAAGTGCGCACCTTGCTGTTAGACAGACAGACAGACAGACAGACAGTCAGACAGACAGACAGACAGACAGACAGACGGATAGATAGACAGATAGATAGATAGATAGATAGATAGATAGATAGATAGATAGATAGATAGATAGATAGATGTTGCTAGCATCACCAGAGCTTAAACCACACACTACAGCACAGAATATTGCTCTGGTAACAAGAAGACCTGATACTACAATGACAAAGCATTTAAATGTGATCTTTGTGTTGAAATAAAGACAGGTTACATGCCTACATTAAACCCTGAATCTTTACAAACAGTTTTTGTGCATGGATAAATCTCCACCCTTGGAAGGCACTGCAGAATAAATGAAAGCTGTAACAAACCTAACGTTCCACTGACGTTTAACCACTAGATGTCAGCATTGTTATATTCAAACACATTTGAGAATATAAAGAGACTCAATGAGGGATAAGAAAAAACTGATAAGAGAGTATCCAGTGCCTACTTGGATTATCATTCACAAAATATTCAATGTATTAAACAAAGTCTCTGGTATAACGTATGGCTGATGCCACAAATACAGCTGCACCATCTATTTAATAGTGAGCTGTCAATACTTAGCATGCATAGGTTTTGAAGCATTTATTTGACATTTTTCCAGCGGTGTACCTGACAAAGCAGCACTTTGTGCTCTCTCACAGCGGTCGGCACATTTAGAGCTGGTGCACCGGCCCACCTGATCAATGTGGCGTCTCACCGAGCTCAGGAGGGGATACTGTGGCCTTTTCACTGGAGCTTTGTGCTGAGGCTGAATCACAAACGCTTGCTCTTTTACTCTTGTTTATTTTAGATTTAAATAAGTTAACTGTATAATAGCTTTGCTGTTGTATCTCTGAAATGGAAATTTTACAGAAAGAAAAATAAACCTTCAATGTAATTTATTTTGGATAGTTTCTGTTGGTCCATTCATCATGAATTGTGCACCAATATTAGTTGGCATTTTGAAATGGTTAAAAATGAAAAATGGGGGTTGCAAGGATTTGATGTAACGGTGAGGATATATTGGAATGTTTAGCAATGCCAAATAAGTTGATAGACTGGAGTAATTATATGCTTTCTTTGTTTCATTTCTGCAGCAAAGTCACTCCTCTCTCTCCAGCAATCCAATTCCACACGGCTGCTGCTTAAATGGCTCACCTCCTGTTTCTGGCCAAGCTCGTGTTGTTTTTCTCATTTCGTTTTCCTGGTGGCACTTTGGGAAATTACAACTTGTGTTGACTACAATGCAACTCCATTTGTCAAGCTTTGTCTCTCCTCATTCCTACTGTCAGCGGTCTGATGAGGTTTTGGACAGTCTCACAAGAGATATTGTGCTGGCCGGACACACATACACACACACATACACACTGGGGATACGTGAATACACTCATGCATACATATAGACACAAAGAGCTAGACACAAAGAGAAGCCAGGCTCACACCTGCTTACAGTGGTGACCCAGATAAACAGCAGGAGAGTCCAGAAAGATTTCACTTTTCTGTGTTTGAAAGAAGATGAACATCTGACAGTAGTAGTTTTGTAAGGGAAAATGAAATGTTATGAATATATTGTCATTTTTACCTTGTACTTATGCTATAATTGTGTAGTGTTCGCAGCTATTTAAAGTTGTGGTGCTTTGTTTCCCAGCTGTTGTTGGCCACAGCAACGCCTAACATAAGCAGAGTTCTCTTTTCTCTAAAAGCTTGTTTGCTACCCAGCTCACATCTCTCTCGGCTCTCTATCTACCCACACACACAGCCCAGTGCATTTCATAGCTCAGCCCTCTACAATAAGCATCTTTAGCAAAGTAAACCCAGTGAATAAATGCTGAACAACACCTATCAATAATATGTTGAAAGATTTCTTGAACATGCTACAGTTGTCTAGTGCAGAGCTGACATATTAAACCATGAGCGTAGCGCATCCAGAGAGACACTTTGCATGGCCACACCCCCTAAGCTCCCCAAAGCTGTGTGGTCCTTGGCATATGCCACAAAGACGCACCACTACGGCAAGGGTTGACCATATATTTAGTTTGGCTACACTGATAGAAATTTTTCATCAAGGTGCAAACAAAAATTAACCCTCTAAGGTACAACAGTGGTTTTAAAGTCTAATTGTGTACCTTAATTTTTTTTTTTCCCCAGAGGAAAAGTATAAATTTGTACCTTTTAAAATTTTAAAACAGAACAATAAAATAAAAAGCCTGGAGATCAAAACATGTACTTTCTGTATGTTTTGGGGCTGTCAAGATTACTAAATTACTTGATCTAAAAAATGAATGAAATTCATTAAAATCTATGATGCATGATGATGATGCTTATTTGAACTTCCCCCACTGGTCTCTGTTGTACACACATTGATATGCATTTTTTGTTACATATTTCAAAAGTTTTGTATTTCAAACATCTTTTTTGGAGATTTGTTGTATTGTTTTTTTGCAGTGGTTCTACACTTGCTGGTTTTGCTTTCTCACTTTTGTAATCTGTTCCATGTTTTATTTACAAGACAGTCAACAGAGGTGCAGCTCCTCTGTTCATGGAAATATTATGTGAGTTCTACGAGAGAAGGTACATTAAAAAGTACCTCTTGAGAAATGTACGCATGACTTTAGTCAATATGGTTGGAGATGAATTTAGGAGAGAACATCATCAGGAAATATAAAATGTTATGACTATATTATCATTGTTTACCTCATACTTATGCTATAACTATGTTGTGCAGAGGTTAAACGTCCAGTCTGCCTACTAACATAACAAGTTTACTTTCTGGGGTCTTTACATTGTTATTGACGTCTTTTAGGTTCGTAGTTTGTCTTTTAGCCAGTAAAGTATTTTGGAATCTTTCAAGGTCTGGGCCTGGGTAGTTAATGTTCAGTGAAGTCTACTTTTATTTATTAGAATTTTTTTTATTTTGCAAAAATAAATAAATAAATAAATAATGATTATGCACTTGAACATCAAAATAATCAATGGATTACTCGATTACCAATATAATCTATCCACTCTGTGCCTTCTAACATAAACTTGTCTCTGTTCCTTCTCTTTCTTACTCCGCTGAGATGATGAATATGTATTTTTCATCACTTTCTATGTAGGAGTCGTAGATGGACTTTCGTGACTGAACACCCACATCATCATCGCTGAGGATGAGTGCGAAAATGGATTTTCAATATCAACTTTTAATAGGAG